TGTGAAGCGTCTGCAGGGGAGCCTCTGTCGGGGGGAAGTGGGAGGAGTGAGGAGTAGCCCGGAGGCGACCCTCGACACAGGGGACACAGGAAGGTCCTGGCCCGGAGGGGAGAGGAGGGAGAGACTGGGGAAGACCAGAGACAAGGACACGGGAAGCCATGCTCCGAAGACGGGGCAAGGAGGGGTGGCCAAGACGGTGGTGCCACAGGAGAGTCTCGTGAGACAGGAGGCGACAAGAACAGGGGGCAGACTCAGGACCTGATCGGGACGCAGCAGCAAGTACATGACCCGACGCAGCCACCTGACCAGACGCAGGGACAGGAGGAGACTCAACGGTCAGGGTGTAGAGACTCGACCCCGGCCGACGCGAGAACGTGGCCAGGTGTCGGCCTGTGCGTGCCTCCGTGCAGTGGGTCACCCGCTGACTCGCAGGAGTGAACTGGTGAACACCCACATCCTGCAGGTCCGCTCCACTCACCAAGTTCGTAGAGAACGAGGGAAGGTACAGACCCGACAGGGTGCCCGAAGGGGCAGCCGGACACGGGAGGACAGTGGAGAAGTGAGACAGGAGAGGACCCCCAGAGGGGTCAGCAAGGGAGACTGCAACCGGCCGGCCGAGCGGCGTAAGGGTAGTGCGGTCTCGAAAGAAGGAGCGAGAAGCTCCGGAGTCAAGTGTGAAAGTGAGGGAGGACGAGGACGACTCAGTACCTGAGAGCGCAGTCTCACCAGTACCTGAGAGCGCAGACGCACTGGCACCTAGAGCAGCAGCCTCACAAGCACCTAGCGCAGCAGTACCAATGCCCGGGTCGGGCTAGAAACAGCGGTAACCCTCATTCTCCTCACTATAATCCACAACATACATAGCAGTAAGGATAGCATCAAAATCAAGATCAAAGATCGCTACACCAGCCCTGAGAAGCTCATCCCAGCGAGGGATCTCACTAGCCCCAGGGAACTGCTGACGCCAGGCGTCCGTCAGGCGGCCAAAGCAGCGCTGGGTGGCGTGGGCACCCCCACACTGCTCACCCGCGCGGTCGCCGGAACGAAGAACGTAGGTGCAGGGACCAGTACCCCCACCCCTCTGACGCCCAGCGTACCACTCACGAAGCTGCTGAGGCGAAGGGATGTCCCGAGAGCGCTGCTGCTGCTGCCGCTGCGAGCGCTGGCCACCACCAACGCCGCTACGCTGCTGGGTACCACCCCGACCAGCTCCACCCCCTCCACCACCACTGCCTCCTCCGCTGCCGCCCCCACCGCCTCCACCTCCGCCGCCTCCACCTCCGCCGCTGCCTCCACCACCACCGCTGGCACCACCACCACCGTCTCCGCCGCTGCTGCCACCACCACCACCACCCCCGCCACTAGTCCCGCCGCCACCCCCACTCCCTCCGCCGCCACCGCCGCCACCGCCACCGCCCCCTCCAGCTCCACCCGCGCCCTTGCCCCCCTTGCCCTTGCTGGAGCGACGTCTCCCACTAGGGGCAGACGCCGCGCCGACCGACTCAAGACCAAGCAGGTCGGCAGCAGCAGCAGAGGCAACAGAGGGCAGCAAGGGGGAAGGAGAGCACCCCTCAAAGATGGGGGTGCGAGGGTCACCACGAGAAGCACCTACAGCGACTATGCTCTTCTCCGCTGCGAGGAGGGCCTTCTCGAGGAGGTCGACGGTGAGGGTGGTGGGACAGACTGCGAGAAAGTGGTCCCTGACGACTCGAAGGGAGTCAGGGAGGCGCGCGACTACGTAGTAGAGAGCGATGTACATGGGGGGGGGGTTCTTAGCGCAGAACTCAGCAGGAAGGGCGGCGCGGTAGCGAGTGTCACTAGTGCGGAGGTGCGTAATGAGGTCAGCGACAGTGGGAAAGGCAGAGAGGTCAGGAAAGAGGTAGGGAAGCATGAGACGGCTCAGTGCAGCAGTGGCAGGGGAGGAGTAGCGCGCAACTACAGCGTCGTACAAGGTCTGAGCACTCTTGTACTGACTGAAGTGCGCACGCTCAGAGGTAGGGAGGTGGCGACGCACAGCAAGACGTGCAGCAGCATCGCGGGTGGCCCACTTAGAGCGGACAGCGGGATCAGCATCAGCAGCAGGAGCAGGAGAGGCGCCAGAGGTGAGATCAAAGAGAGAAAGGTCGTCAGCCCTGTCGCACTGTAAGAACAGCTGCAGGTCGTCTAACCAGACCTCAAAATCAATGGCGCGACCCTCAGCGTCAAAAGCTAGGACACTAGGGGTAGCCATGGCGACGACAGCGACGCAGTGCAAGCAGCAGGGAAAGAGCTCGCAGTGTCAGTGGGACTGTGCTCACCAGGCAGGGCAGGTCGTGTAGGTATGCAGAAAGGCGGCTCAGCGACCTGGCGGCTCGGGTGCTGGGCGGCTCGGCTGCTGGGCGGCTCGGGCGCAGGGCGGCTCGGCTCCCGGGCGGCTCGGCGGCTGGGCGGCTCGGGTGCAGGGCGGCTCGGCTCCCGGGCGGCTCGGCGGCAGGGCGGCTCGGGTCCCGGGCGGCTCGGCGTCGGGCGGCTCGGCTCACGGGCGGTTCGGCTGCTGAGGCGGCTCGGCCAGGAGATGCAGGGGCGGGGCCGTCAGGTGCAGCGGCGGGTTGACCGGTGCAGTGGCGGGCCGGCAGGTGCAGCGGCGGGCCGGCAGGTGCAGCGGCGGGCCGGCAGGTGCAGCTGCGGGCCGGCAGGTACAGGCGGCGGGCCGTAGGGTGCAGTGGCGGGCCGTAGGGTGCAGTGGCGGGCCGGCAGGTGCAGCGGCGAGGTCGGCAGGTGCAGCGGCGAGGCCGTCAGAGGCGGCGGGCCGCTGGGTGCAGCGGCGGGCCGGCAGGAGCAGCGGCGGGCCGGGAGGGGAGGCGGCGGAGCCGCGTCAGGGGAGGCGGCAGGGCCGCGTCAGGGGAGGCGGCGGAGCCGCGTCAGGGGAGGCGGCGGTGCCGCGTCAGGGGAGGCGGGGGAGCCGCGTCAGGGGAGGCGGCAGGGCCGCGTCAGGGGAGGCGGCGGGGCCGCGTCAAACAGGCGGCGGGGCCGCGTCAGTGGAGGCGGCGGAGCCGCGTCAGGGGAGGCGGCGGGGCCGCGTCAGGGGAGGCGGCGGAGCCGCGTCAGGGGAGGCGGCGGGGCCGCGTCAGGGGAGGCGGCGGGGCCGCGTCAAACAGGCGGCGGGGCCGCGATCAGGAGAGGTGGCGGGGCCGCGTCTGAGGGACAGCGGGGCCGCGAGGGAAAAGGCGACCCGAGGGGGTCGCTAAAAAAAAGGGCGCGCCTCGGGGCGCGCTTCGGTGGGCCCTAAAAAAAACGGTCCTAAGGCAGGACCCGCTCTATACCATGTGAAGTAAAGAAAACAGGAATGAAATGACTAAGGAAAGATTGGGTACAAATACAACCCTAGAAACCGTGTACCCCATATGTGCTACCCCACTATAGCCTACAGCAACTATGTCATATAAATCTGACACCGTAATTGTACACCCCCGGGTAGCTAATACGGGGTGGGTGTTATATCCGACCCCGTTAGTACTATACCCCCCCCTTTTGGGGTGATTCTCTATAACACCCCCCTTTTCTTATAGATTCCTATTATAACAGTTATCGAGTCTGATTCCTTATGGGAGGATATCGCGAAAATTACTCCCTAGAAGAAATTTCGCATGTAATTTCACTTAGAATCAGCCGAGATCAGGGCTGACGTTTCAAATTTAGGTACCCTGATGTCCACCTAAAAAAATAAAAATTAACCCTGAAGGCATATTTTCCAGAAAAGCAGCACCTTGATTGCTCAGTGTTTGGAAGTTATACAGTCTCAGTGTTCAGGGTCGAGAAGTCACGATCAGGGTACGTGTAGTAACGCGCTGTGCATTATCGAAACTGAACTTTGATGGCGAATCTGTTCTGTGAAAGGGCGAATTTGCAATGTCAGATACATTTTACTGTGATTGGTCAAGACCTTTGTGCTCTGACAGCTCAAATCTGCTGTGTCAGGGCCATTTCGCTGTGATTGGGCAAATTCGTTGCTCCGTACGGCGCGAATTCGCTTTGTCAACGCGATTTTTGAATGACGCTGGTGCAGTGACCAGTCAAGACGGGTTTGACTCACCAGTTCGACCCTCACTAGTGAACCTCGGAGGTGGGTGTATCGAAAGGAAATTTTGAGGAAGCTTCCTCCCGATAAACTTGCATGCAGGGACCACAGAACGCATACTCTGTAGTGACAGACTCCAGAAATGACTAACACTTAGGCCTATTTCACTGAATCAGGGGCCATAAAACAATAACTCTGAGGCTCTCAGTGATGAAAATTTGACTACTCTGGAATTCCATTTTTCACAAACTCGATGGTCTGATCCGTCAGACTAATCAGACTATTTACTCTGATAGCGTCATCCCTGGCCGAGATATCCCCCCTCCCACAATCTCGTTGTCGCCACGCTGGCGAATCTTCCACTGCAAGTGGTCCAAGAGGTGAAGTGGCCCAAGTGGCCCACAATATCCTCGTACTCGGTTTTGCGGTACTGATCAGTAATCTAGAAGTGAAGTGACACCCCACATTTTGTTTCACATCATTTCTGCTTCATAAAAAATATAGAATATAATAAGACCCGGGTATTATACAGGATTTTCCGTTGAGAAGACCCCCCCCATTTTTTTCTGGTGGTTTTCATAATACCCTAGGGTGTTTTATCCGGGAGAATACGGTATAAATACCACCCTTTTATTCGAATAGCGGTTTACAAGCAGGTTTCACAAGACAACCCACATGCCTACTAGTAGCATCACCATCCACCTGGCACTAGAGAAGCACAGCCATAGGCACGCAGCTTGTAGCAAGAACCAGGGTTGCTTAGGCGCAAACACTCCCATGCACATCCCCTCCCCATCCATCCCTCACACCTCCTTCCCTCCTCTTTCTAGATCCTACCCATAAGCCCTGATGCAAATACCAACGCCAATGCCACTGCCACCAACCCCCCAGCATGCCCGATGCAAGAAGGAGGCGGCGACTGACCGAGCGACCACTTGATAGCTTAGGGTTTCTTGGGTGCAGAGGGTGTAAGGCCAGGGACAATGAGGCCAATGCCTCTGCCATTGGACCGGTCGTACGTGCACGTTCCGTTGGGAGAGCCGGCGTAGCGGCACACTCCGTACTCCTTGGGGCGTTGAGCAGCAGCCATGAGGCTATTCGCGTACCTGCGGTTGTTGCATGGGTTCGGGGTTTCGGGTTTAGGGGTTTTGGTGTGGGGTTTCGGGTGCAAGAAGTAAGAAGGGGAGGAGCATGTCTTGGAAGCGGAGGGTGCGTCATTGCATGGCTGCATGAAAGCTTGATTGCATGGCTGCATGAAAGCTTGATTGATTGCATGGCTTCATGAAAGCTTGATTGCATACGTTTGGCCATTGGGGGAGCCGTAGGTGGGCAGGTGCATGTTGCGGAAGCAGCGGTTGCATCATGGTGAGGAGTGAGAAGAAGGGGCAGCACGACTGCATGAAAGCTTGATTGTTTGCTTACGTTTGGCCATTGGGGGAGCCGTAGGTGGGCAGGCGCATGTTGCGGAAGCAGAGGGGGCATGATTGCATGGCTGCATGAAAGCTTGATTGTTTGCATACGTTTGGCCGTTGGGGGAGCCGTAGGTGGGCAGGTGCATGTTGCGAAAGCAGCGCCAGCCGCGGCAGTAAGGGCAGCCCGGGCAGGTAGCATCCGCTTTGCAGTTAAAGCCATTCTTGGGGTGAGGCGCCGTGAAACGGCAGGTCCCTGGGGGGGAGGGAGGGAGGGAGAGGGGGAGAGGAGGTTGAGTTTGAAAGGGCTTGAGTGAGAGGAGGAGATGGAAAGCACTTACAGTAGCCCAGTGGCCCAGTCAAAGGTTCCCAGCCACTGGTGGCATTGACTGACATTGACTGACGAATACCAAAGATGCCTCGCGACTAAAAGACATACTTACAGAAGCCCGTGGCCCAGTCAAAGGTTCCCAGCCACTGGATCTTCCTCTTGACGTATGTGTAGGTCGGTCGGCAGGAGGAGAGGGAATTTTGAGGCGTCGTGAAAGACAAAAACTTACAGAAGCCCGTGGCCCAGTCAAAGGTGCCGCGCCACTGGGTCCTCAGATTGACGTACGTGTACCAGGTGCCGTTCTTGGCCTTCACCGACATGCCAAACAGGGGGTGGAACCTGAGGAGGGGAGGGGGGGAGGCAGAGGGGGAGAAAGGGAGGGGGAAAGGGGTGTCTAGCCACTGGTTCTTCAGATTGACGTACGTGTACCAGGTGCCGTTCTTGGCCTTCACCGACGTGCCAAACAGGGGGTGGAACCTGAGGAGGGGAGGGCGGAAGAGGGGAAGGGAGAGGGGGAGAATCTGAGGGGGGCGGCGAGCAGAGAACGGCAATGGGCAAGAGAAAGCGCAGGGAAGGACTGATGTGATGCGCGTGGGGTGATGGACAGATAGTAGGCAGAAAGGCAGAGAGGGCAGAGAGAGGGCAGAGAGAGGGCAGAGAGAGGGCAGAGAGGGCAGAGAGAGGGCAGAGAGAGGGCAGAGAGGGCAGAGAGAGCGCAGAGAGGGCAGAGAGGGCAGAGAGAGCGCAGAGAGGGCAGAGAGCGCAGAGAGGGCAGAGCATGCATACTTGGGGACGTCATAGGGGTAGAAGCCGAAGGGCGTCGAGTTGTTGGTCCGCGGGCTGGCCTTCCACGCAGGCACGCCCGCGAGCTTGCGCCCCGGCGCGTCCGTCCCCTTCGCCCCCGCGGCCGCGGCCGCGGCCGCGCCCGCCTCCATGGCGGCGACGAACTTCTTCACCTCCGCGGGCGCGTCCGCGGGGAGCGGCTGCGGCTGGAGCGTGCGCGCGAGCTCCATATCTTGCCCCTCTAGCGCCAGGTCGAACAGCGCGCTGATCGGCGAGCTGGTATCGGGGAAATCGGCGGGAACGTCGGGCACGTCGGGAGCGGCGGGGTTGGCGGGAGTGCCGGGGGTGGCGGGGATGGTCAGGTCGTCTATCGCCTCTCCGGCCGAATCCGCCGGCGGGTTGTCCGCTGGTCCGGCGCCGGGGCTGGTCGCGGGACCGTTGCCCGCGCTCCCCGCGTTGCCGGGGGGTGCGCCGCCCGCAACGTCTCCCGCTGCGCCGGGGAAGCCCGGCGGAAGGGTCATTCCGCCAGACCCGGCGTCGCCAAAGCCGACGGCCCCGGCGGATTCCGCGCCGGGGTCGGTGCCGTAATCTTCGTCCGCCACGCGCTCGACGTAGTCGTCCCCGACGTCCTGAAGGATGCGGCGGGAGGCGGAGGCGGAGGCGGAGGCGGAGGCGGAGGCGGAAGGCGCAAGGAGCGCGCACGCGAGCAGCAGCGCGCAGGCGAAGAGCGGGAGCACGAGGCGCTGTTTGAAGGCCATGGTGGGAGGAGCGGTGCTGCTAGCTGCTGCTGCTGCCGATACCGAGGAGAGAACGAGAGGCGGCCGGGTGAATTCAAGGGCGAACACGTGTAACGCGAGGCTTCAGGGGTGCTTGCACTTGGAAGGCTAGAGCTCCTCGAGCCGAAAATTGAAACGAGGAGAGAGAAAACTGGATGATTTCGAATGGCCTCACTCGCTTGCTTTAATAGCTTTCAGTCCTCCCACTGAAAGGATAGAGCTCCCACCCACCGCGGTTCCCACTCGCTGCCCTGTGTGACTCGAGTCTGACCAGCAGGGGATTCGACTCTCAGGCGACTAGCGACTCCCCACTCCGAGGCGAGTCCGAGGCGAATCCGAGGCGAATCCGAGGCGGTCCGAGTCGGTTCGGAGTGGGGTCACTTGCGGAGGTTGGATCAACCCCTCAGCCTGGATAAACCCCACTGAGTGGCGTTGACATCAAGGAACCAACCAGCCATCAACGGGCTCAGCCCGGTTGGGCTGCCCGTTTGGGCTGCCCGTTTGGGCTGCCCGTTTGCCGCACCAGGCTGGTGCAGCCCGGTTGGGCGACTCGCGCGGGGAGTCAACCCCTGCAACCTCCTCTATCGCGCGCGTCGCTCGCTGCGTCGCACACAGTCGTACGGTGACAGGCGGGCGTGAAGAAGGAAAATGAGAGCATCGGGGGATACTACTGCCGATGCTAGGCTCTTCGGCTGAAATGGAGCCACTAAGCGACAGAACGACAGAGGGATCGAGCAATCGAGTGGGCGAGTGACCAAGCTATCGCGTGATACATCCAGCGGTTGAGACGGTTCGCGAGGCGTCGAGTCTGAGCACCGGAGTGCACCCCACTGGCGTGCACCACACCGGCGAGGAACGAACACGGAGGACCGGTTTCTCAAAACGAGGGGCGCTGTATGGCCCGAGACCAAGAGCTTGACCGGTTGCTGCGCGCCCGAGATCAAGATCTGCATGTTGCTCGTTGTTAAACGCCATGATACGGGCAGGGCTGGCGAAATGGAATCGGGAGGTTGCGGGCTGACTGGATGACTATGGAACCGCCGCGTTTCGTCCTCTGATGAATGCAGCCTGCTGTCAACTAGAATCGCCTGCTTCAGACGACTTTCGTGACGCCTCAAGGGTTGATTTGGAACTGCTAAGCAGCTGCTTTTGGCTGGTACAGCACCGTTGGTCTCCTCCCTAGTTTCCCCTCGGCTCTCCCTGCGGCATCTCCGCCTCCACCCTGTCTGTTCCGTGTGGCAGTGTGAGACATGGAAACTAACCGCAACTGGATGATGTTGGGGCAGCACGAGGCGAAGAATGAGGAAGGAGTTAAACTGAGAGCACGAAGTCAAGAAAGTTGAATCTCGGGTTGGTGTAAGGCAGGATAAAGGCAGGGTCACGGAAACGGGGGGAAAATTGCGGAGCGCAGGTCGCGGTTTGGTCGAAAATGTGCCGTTTGGTATTCCAGTAAGATACCCGTTATGGAAGTACATTCTCCATTAAGGAGCATTTTAGGAAGCAAATCGTTGAAAGCTCGTCCAGAAATACACTGTTCCAGATAAATAATTCATAAAGTGCTAGAGTCCTATCCTTCACATAGCAAACCATACATACTGTACTATGGAAAGGGTTGTCTGTAACTCGATACAGACTTAAGTTAAAGCTGCTTTTCATTTTCCAAACACTACACAACTTGGGCAAAATATCCGCTCGTAGTGGCAATAGTACCAAGAAGTGGTTAATAGTGTACGTATTGTTTAGTATAAAATTATAGGTTAGGGTTCACCATGCCATAGAGGATATAGGCTTCATATTTCGTACCCTGTAATGAAACAGAGTACACTACAGGAAACATGCACATTAAAGTTTGAATATGCATAAGATCTTATGCTAGACAAAAGCTACCATAAATGAGCAACCAATATCACACAATAAAGAAGGCAACCAGACAAGGATACCTCACAAATCCTTGGCTCGCCACCAACTAGTTTAATAACTCAAACCACCTTGTCTTTCAGGGATTGCAGCAGTCAACTTTACACCTGCGCGGTGCCTGCAGTGAAGTCTGGGTTCTCGCACTTGTAGGTGCCGTCAATTCCGATTCCGAAGCCCCTGGGGTCAGCAAATACATTCTCCAGCAACTGGTGGCGCTCCGGCAGTGGGCTCTCATCAGCAAACTCAACAGCATCCTCCACGACATCGTCAATCTTCTTCTCAATTGCCTGAAAAAAGATCAGAAGGGAGCATGGACAAGTTACAAACGAGGAACACTGACAGCAAATTGACAAAACCCAAAATCAGGCTCCCTTAGAATATCTGACAACTGGGCTGCAGTTGCCAAGAAAATTGGTCTGTAAAGGGTGAAAACGAAATCTTCTAGGCTTGGTGCTCATTATCTCGTTCATAAACTCCAAGAGACTGCTCATGAAGACCATTTGAAAAACTGTTAACCATCCTTAACCCCCTGACAGAAAAACCCCGTTCTCACACTAATCAGCTAATTGCATGACAGAAATTCCATGAAGACACAGAGTGTCTGGCCAGGCAACACAACTGACTAGAGCCCATGCATTTCTTTCACCAGCAAGCATCACCCCAACAGAATCGTGCATCCAGTTACACACAATCCTCTAGCGAAAAAACGAATCGAGAATCCCCCCCCTCTGTCCGCAACAGTCATGGTGCAAAGCCGTGCTTTACCGTGCAATACGCTCGTGTCACTCACCTTGAGGTCGGCCTCGGTGGCGAGCCCCGTCTCCAGGATGTGCTTCTTCAGCGCGATGATGGGGTCGCGAGCGGCATACTTGGCCTTCTCCTCTGCGCGAACCAGGGAGGTATGGAGGGGACGAAAGGAGTGGGGGAGAAACGGCGGGATACGGGGAGGGAGTGCAGAGAGGGGGGAACGGAGAGGAATCAGGGACCATTAAGTTGGCATTCTAGCAAGGACTTTGGTGGAAGGAGAAGAATGTTTTGTTGTGAAAATTTGGCGGATGGATTTGTTAACCAACCGGAGAGTGGATAAAGAAGAGATGCATTGGTAGGTACGCTGACACGGGGAAACTCACTAGTACAGAGTCATTTACCAGGGGAGCGAAGCTCATCGGGGTCGGCCAGGGAGTGACCGCGGAAGCGGTACGTCTCGCACTCTATCAGCGTCGGGCCGTCGCCCCGCCTGGCGCGATCAATGGCCTCCAGTGCCACCTCGCGCACCTTGAGCACATCCATGCCGTCCACGTGGACTCCGGGCATGCCGAACGCGGGGCCCTTCTTCCAGATGGCGGGGTCCGACGTGGAGCGCAGGTGGCTCATGCCGATGGCCCACAGGTTGTTCTCCACCACGAAGATCACCGGAAGCTTCCAGAGCGCCGCCATGTTGAGGCACTCGTAGAAGGAGCCGTTGTTGCACGTGCCGTCGCCGAAGAAGGCCACTGCAGCCGGACGCAGCGAACAAACAAAAGGCAATCGACAAGTGAAATCGCAGTGAAATGTTTCCCTTCACGCTCTGATAAGATAATACGCTCTACCGGGCGAATGGGCAGCTACAAAAGTCAGCGCAACGAGGGTCTCACCTGAAACCTGGTCCGCGTCGTGCTTGAGCACCTCCTTGTTGTACTTCACAGTGAACGCTGCACCGACAGCGACCGGGATGCCCTCGCCGATGAAGGCGAAGCCACCGAGCACGCCCTGCTCCTTGGAGAACATGTGCATGGACCCGCCCTGCCCGCGACAGCACCCCGTCGTCTTGCCGTACAGCTCTGCCATCACCTCGCGCGCCGACACGCCCTTGCTCAGCGCGTGCACGTGGTCACGGTATGTGCTGGGTTGTTGAAGACGAAGGAGTTGTTGCGAGGTAGGGTCGGGGGAGAAGGGAGGGTAAAAGGAGAGGGTTAGAGAAAAAACTTCATGCGGAAAAGAACGATCGGGAAAAGGGTTGGGAAAATAGCTAGGATGTGGCCACACAATAGAAGCAACAAAGAAGATGGTACGGCAGGTGCAAGTGCGACGCGTGTTACCTGGTAACGTAGTCGTCCTGTCGCAAGTATTTGATGATACCGGAAGAGACGGCCTCTTGACCGTTGTACAGGTGAACGAAGCCAAACATCTTCCCGCGGTAATACATCTGAGCGCACATGTCCTCGAAGGTACGTCCCAGCACCATGTCCTCGTACAGCATCAGCGCGTCAGCGCGATCAAGATCCTGTATAAGAGAATGGCGAGGGCACAGAGAGACATTGTGGATGCAACTTGTTGAAACGAAAACTACAAGACACGCAGGACGAGAAAAAAAAAACTCGCTATTCACTAGAAAGTGAAGTATGAAGCATAACTAACGATTTTCTAAACAGTGAAAATGCGTTGAAAGAAACTCCCTCACAGCCGGTTCAGGGAACAATGATGAAACTGACACCAGCTCTTCTCGAACAAAAAGAAAAGAATTGAAATAGATTATTGAATCAAGCGAGATCATCGCAGGGTTTTTGATGGGTACTGTTCGACGAAGGATGTGTATTGATATTTTGCTTCTTCAATGATTACTAACCGGCACGACATAGGTGGATGTTGATGGATCGGCAGTGGCAGTGGCGCGCGCAGCACCAGCCTTCCAGTTCCCCTTCACCTGCACGGCCTTAACAGCCTTTGCGGGAACTCGCGATCCCAGAAACCGGCTGGACAGCGGCGCAGCAGCACCAGTGCTGACAGCAGACCTGGTAGAAGCCGTGGTTTGCCGAGCAGAATCTGCTGGTAGGGTGCAAGCCCTAACAGCCGGAGCAGCAGCAAGAGCCATGACGGATGGGAGTCACAGTTCCGAGCTCAGAAACTCGACCCTCAGGAACCAAGGGAATCACGAATCACAACTGAAGCTGGATTGGAGATCGGAATGTCCAGCTCCAGAAATGGCTACTCAGACATCCACCAGTTTGATCTGATGATATCAGAGCCAACTCCAACCCAAAAGACTGCAGAGAATGGCTGATCTGGACACACGGGATGAATGCTAGTGATAGACTCACTGCTACTGGAGCTGAATTGACAAATGAAAGAATGGGGTCCGTAAACTGGATTCGCGACGAACCTGTGTCTTGAACGGTCGGGATGAAGTCTCGGGTCAACATCGACGTTCTCGAAGCGTAAACTGCCGTCGATTTACGGCTTAGAGGTTTCTCTTGTGACGTGAGTGGCGGTTGGGATCTCGATGTGAACGAAACCTTTTATCATGCTGCTTTTGCGGTGAGTAATGAAGAGCTGGATGTTCTTCGTTACAAGATTGGGTGCGCTGCTTGCCACTGGCAAAGCCTAACGCGTCAGACATTGCCACCTGTACGGTCGAGCGTGCGGAAGGTGATATATTGACATCCCCGTCTCGTAACGCTGAGGTGGACAGATTGGCTTTCAGATGCAATGACCAATTCGGAAGCGATTGACACGTGGTTCCACGAACGTCTCTTGCGCGCAGAAAAGGTGGAAGAAAGGTCATCTCACACATGCGGCACGAACGAACCTGTCTCTGTCGTCTCGTCATGTTGACCCGCGCGAGGATGATGCTGGGTTATGACCGAGCAAAAATTTTCCCTGGCACCCTAACCAACCATTCTAAATCTCATATCAATAGTAGCCTGATTCTCTGTAGCCCAGCTATATTCTGGATGAAGGGGTTGCTATTAATATGACACTCCACAATGGGGTTCCTCACATCATTAACTTTCGTTGTGCCAAAATTAGTTCCGAAGTAGATTGATTCAGTCGGGGCCCTACTAAAGAATTCCCTATTGTTTCCGTGCATCTGCTCTACTCATCGTAGGTGCACGTGAAATCAATAACTGAAATGTTGCATTCACCCATCTTCATGCCAGTTACATCAAGTATTGGTCATCAATCAAGATACATCGCAATACATATCCAGAAGGTCAGAGTCAGGTCCATAAACAAGCCCAGCAGCCGCAGGATCAGCAGCGTTCGGCTTGCATACCCCGGTTCCCGAACATAGCGTCCCTGAACCATCTACCGAACCGCATATTGCACATGAAAATGTGTCTCTTTGAAACCCCCCTGCTGATGTGCAGTTGTTGACTTGCGTGAAACAATTGTGCAGTGCACTGCAATATGTGAGTCTATTGGAGGGGAAGGTTCCGTAGATATAGCTTTGCTCGAAGGACAGGTAAGCCAAGGAAGTGGAGATGGCTGGAAGAGTGCCGGTAAGACAGTTGAAGTTCAGGTTCCTACAACACAATGGGTGTGACAAACATGCAGCAAAGATACACAAATTGTGAATTGCTTACGGAACTGGAGCAATGTTAAGGAGATTGGAACAATCCCCCCAAAATGGAAAAGGGATATGTGCAAAGCATCAAATTCATGTGGTACACCAAGCACATGGTGATGAGGCACATGGCGATGAGGCACATGGCGATGAGGCACATGGCGATGAGGCACATGGCGATGAGGCACATGGTGATGAGGCACATGGCGATGAGGCACATGGTGATGAGGCACATGGTGATGAGGCACATGGTGATGAGGCACACGGCGATGAGGCACACGGCGATGAGGCACATGGCGATGAGGCACATGGCGATGAGGCACATGGCGATGAGGCACATGGCGATGAGGCACATGGCGATGAGGCACATGGCGATGAGGCACATGGTGATGAGGCACATGGTGATGAGGCACATGGTGATGAGGCACACGGCGATGAGGCACATGGCGATGAGGCACATGGTGATGAGGCACATGGTGATGAGGCACATGGCGATGAGGCACATGGCGATGAGGCACATGGCGATGAGGCACATGGCGATGAGGCACATGGCGATGAGGCACATGGCGATGAGGCACATGGCGATGAGGCACATGGCGATGAGGCACATGGTGATGAGGCACATGGTGATGAGGCACATGGTGATGAGGCACACGGCGATGAGGCACATGGCGATGAGGCACATGGTGATGAGGCACATGGTGATGAGGCACATGGCGATGAGGCACATGGCGATGAGGCACATGGTGATGAGGCACATGGTGATGAGGCACATGGTGATGAGGCACACGGCGATGAGGCACATGGCGATGAGGCACATGGTGATGAGGCACATGGTGATGAGGCACATGGCGATGAGGCACATGGCGATGAGGCACATGGCGATGAGGCACATGGCGATGAGGCACATGGCGATGAGGCACATGGTGGTAGCAGTATCTGAGAGGAAAAAGGCCCACAGCTTTGTGAGGTGGGGCAGTGCCAGACGGGCAGCTGGCATGAAGCAGTAGAGCCAGCTGTACTGCAGCTCACTAGACGTTTGAGACGTCTCAGAAAAATGCAAGATACTCAGTTGTTGAAATGAGAGGAGGAGACCCACAGCTTTGTGAGGCGGGGCAGTGCCAGACGGGCAGCTGGCACGAAGGTGTAGAGCCAATTGTACTGCAGCTGACTGGACTTTTGAGACGTCCCAGAAGGAGGTAGGAGACTCACAGCCTTGTGAGGCGAGGCAGTGACAGAAGGACGGATGGAATGGAGCCGTACAGCCAGTTGTACTGCAGCTGGCTGGAGTGGGACGGACAATACAGTCAGTGGGTGAAATAATGCGAGTCAATGCTGGTCAGCGAGAATATGTGAGTCAATGCTGGTCAACAACGATACACGAGTCAATGTTTGTCAATGGCACGTCACACACACGTACAGCATGTCGTGGTCGGTGAGTCAATGGCACGTGCCATTGACGTCACACGTCTATGTCACGACAGCAGTGGAAAGTAGGATATTCTACTGCTGGCGGCTACATGCAGTTTTCGAGAATTCTGAAAAAGAAATAACAGTACCGTATCAAGGCATGCCATGGCATTAAAATGTCATTGCATACCCCTGCTTGCTTATCATGCTGATTACGCTGTACCACCGCATGGCATGGCATGGCACACTCACATCATCTTGAGATTAGTGAGAGTTGAGAGGGGGGAGATTATGCTTCTGAGTGACATCCAAAAGAGGTTGGCATGGAGACTCCTGCGGGAAAAAATAGAAATAGACGATTTCTTTTATTGAGGCGCCTCAAAAGGTGTCCCAAGGAGAGTCCCGTGCAGGATGACATGCAAGTAGACGATTACTGAGGCGCCTCAAAAGAGGTCCGGAGAAATCGAGACTTCTTGCAGGGAGACATGTTGGGTGAAAAGAAAAAGGGAAATTTTGCAATGAACGTGGACATACATGGGGAATGTGCACGTAAGGGGCATAAATGAGTGAATGCACAGAAGAATACATGACGTGCATGTGTCCAAGCACATGCATGGATGCACATGCATGGATGCACATGCATGGATGCACATGCATGGTGTATGCATGCACATTACAGGTGAGTGAGAGTAGTGAACTTGCTGATGTCTGCATGGAGGGGCCCTTGCAGCTGCTGGTAGCTGAAGCTTGTGTCACTCTTGAGATTTCTCACAAAGCTTGTGTCACTCTTGAGATTTCTCACAAAGCTTGTGTCACTCATGAGATTTCTCACAAAGCTTGTGTCACTCTTGAGATTTCTCACAAGATTTCGCAATTGTTTTTTCACAAGTGAGTCAGTGACACAGGCAAAGCCTTACAGGTGAGTGAGAGTGGTGAGCTTGCTGATGTCCGCATGGAGGGACCCTTTCAGCTGCTGGTAGCTCAAGTCCCTGCCAGGATGGAAGGGGAGGGGGAGGGGGAGGAGAGGGAAATGTGTTAGCAGATCTCTTGCCTTCAGACAACTTTTGAGGCGCCTCAAAAGGAGATGTGTTAGCAGATCACTAAGCCATGTCCGGATCTCACGCAGATCTGCTTTTGAGTCGACTGAAAAGCAGATCTCTTGCCTTCAGACACACAGCCCCCCGTATACAAGTTGACCTTTGAGACGTCTATTTTTGAGTCGACTAAAAAATCGACTCATCACACCCGTATAGAAGTTGACCTTTGAGACGTCTCAAAACTCAACTTCTATACGGGGGGTTGAGGAGTGGAAGGGAGAGGTATTAGCAGATCGCTTGTCTCCAGACGCACCGCCAGCAGGGAGAGACACACACAGGTGATGGGCACAATCATCAGGTGCCCAATAACCACAATTGTGCCCTGTAATGAGGTGACTTTTGAGTCGACTCAAAAGTCACTTTGTAATAACCCATACGGGTAATGGACACACTTACAGGTAGGTCAGTCAAACCGCATGCCTGCCCACATCTTTCTTGGACACGTGGTGGCAGTGGTGTGTGAAAGAGTCACTTTTGAGAATTCTGGAAAATGACTCCCATGAATAGTGGTACATTTAGGAGGAGAGGCGAGAGGAAACTCACAGGTAGGTCACATCCCCCGAGGTGTCACAGCGCACGCATGACATGTGGTGGTGGTGGTGGCGATGGTGCTGGTGGTGACGGTGGTGGTGGTGGTGTGTGAATTGACATATACAGGTAGATTTAGGAGGGGGGGTGAGAAAGGAGACTGACAGGTAGGTCAAACTCCCCGTGGCATCACAGCGCACGTCTGCCTGTGGTAATGAGCATGCTTACAAGAAGGTATTGAATGAGCATGCTTACAAGAAGGTAATGAATGAGCATGCTTCCCCGTGGCATCACAGCGCACGCCCGACCACGCCTGCCCCGGCCACGGGTTGGTGGCGCTGAGAGGAGGTAGGTCGCACAATACCCACAGAGAGCTCACTCACAGGAAAGTGACACTCCCCGTGGCGTCACAGCGCACGCCCGACCATGTCTGGCCGGGCCTCGGGTTGGTGCCGTCTATGGCACACGGCATGCTTGAAACCCATGTTGTGTGCGTCACTCCCAGGGTTGACTTGAGGGCTAGGAGAGTAGATGCTGCGTGGATGGAGGGGAAGGAGGAAGGGAGAGAGATGAACGACACAGGACACGCTTGAGACCGATGTTGTGTGCGTGGGTCAGTCCGAGGGTTGACTTGAGGGCTAGGAGGGCAGATGCTGCATGGCGAGGGGATGGGGTTGGCATGCGGATGGACGGGGAACAGGGTATGGGGAAGGGAGAGGGATGAATGGCACAGGGCACGCTTGATTGATTCCCATGTTGTGTGTCACTTCGAGGGTTGACTTGAGGGCTCGGAGAGCAGATGCTGCGTGGGAGGTTGGTGGGATGTCGATACAAGGGAGAAAGATGTGATAGAATTCAAGAGTAGTTGAATGATGAGCCATTGAGGCTCTATAGTACAAGCATGCAAGCAAGAGAGGGGTGAAGAAGGAGCAAACCCTATTGGCCACTAAGTTGGCCAATGGGGGAGATGCCTTGTGGAGTAGGTAACCCCACAATGTTGCTAGGTTGTGATTGGTAGGCCTTAGGACCAAAAGTTGGCAAGTGCCAACCAAGGACCAAGACCAAACCCAACCTTGACCAACCACAAAATGTGGTTGGAGTGTACACCCAACCCCCCAAGAACATAAAGAGCTACACCATTCTAGCCTATGTATGTTGTATATAAGATACAGTTACAACAAGATGGAAGGGAGAGGGGAGAACGGTTGGGAAGAGTGATAATGGCACAGGGCACGCCTGCGAGCCATTCTGAGACGTCTCAAAAAATCACTCTTAGCATGAGAGGTAGGGAGGTAGTGACAGTCGGGAGTGACAGTCGGGAGTGGCAGTCGGGAGTGGCAGTCGGGAGTGGCAGTCGGGAGTGGCAGTCGGGAGTGGCAGTCGGGAGTGGCAGTCGGGAGTGGCAGTCGAGAGAGACAGTCGGGAGTGGCAGTCGGGAGTGACAGTCGGGAGTGGCAGTCGGGAGTGACAGTCGGGAGTGGCAGTCGGGAGTGGCAGTCAGGAGTGACAGTCGGGAGTGACAGTCGGGAAGGCGGATACTCACAGAAGGAGGAGCGGATGGTGACGACAGTTGAGCCTGATGGGAACAAGCAGAGGCATGCATGGCACGCACGCATGGCACGCACGCATGGCACGCATGGCACGCATGGCACGCATGGCACGCATGGCACGCATGGCACGCATGGCACGCACGCATGGCATGCATGGCACGCATGGCACGCATGGCACGCATGGCACGCATGCAAGGGAAGAGAAGGGAAGCATGATGAGGAGCCGTGTGCACAGGGGGACAGCAGGAGCGGGGGACAGCAGGAGCGGGGGACAGCAGGAGCGGGAGACACATGGGAAGGAGAGCGAGGAGAACTCATAGCTTTGTGAATGGTTGTTCTGAACGTGCACCAGCAAGGTCATGGGAAGAGCCGGGCGCGTGGTCTGATACGCTGCACACACGCTGCACACACGCTGCACACACGCTGCACACACGCTGCACACACGCTGCACACGCCACCCATTCTCGCATTGCAGAGCCTCGTATAGAGAGGGTGTTTTTGAGACGTCTCAGAATCGCAGAGCCTCGTATATGCGCACCAACACAGGTCATGGCAAGAATGGGCCGCGTCTGCTGCACACTGTCAAAAGGCCTCTTATATACGCACCAACACAGGTCACGGCAAGAATCAGGCGTGTGAGCCCGTTGGGAATGCCTTGAGAAGCCGCTGCTGCAGCGTCTGCTGTACACACACCATCCCAGCACACATTCCCTGCTGCCGCATCACCCATCCCACACACTGTACACTCCGCTGCAGCCCTCTGCCTCGTTCCGTAGAAATTGCCGAAGCACCAGGGGTCCTTGAGGTCTCAAATCCGGTCCTCTGCTTCGTTCCGTAGTATTTGCAGTCGTGTTTTGATTCGACTCAAAACACTGCTGTGTGCACACACCATCCCAACACACACCTCCCATTCCTGAAAAGCCTTGAATTTACCCACCTACGCAAGACATGGCAAGAGTGGGCCGTGTGGGCCCGTTGGGAATGCCTTGAGACGCCACTGCTGCAGCGTCTGCTGTGCACACACCGTCCCAGCACACATTCCCTGCTGCCGCATCACCCATCCCACACACTGTACACTCCGCTGCAGCCCTCTGCTTCGTTCCGTAGAAATTGCACGAGGAGGAGGGGGAGGAGGAGGAGAAGCAGTTGTTCTCGGCGGCGCAGAATTTGAGGGAGTGAGGAGGGAGGGAGCCGGAGAGGAAGTTGTAAGCAACGTCTAGGCCCACGAGGGATGAGGGGATGGGAGGGATGGTGCCCGTGAGGTAGTTGGAGAAGATGCCTCTACGGTGGGGAAGGGGAGAGTGAAAAGGGAGAAGGGAAAACAAAAAGGAAAAAAGAGGGAACATGATTTCAGATATGGTTGAGCGCCATCTTAGCTGCTTCTGCTCTCCGCTAAGACATGTCATCAGCTTATGATGGAGAGATTAGCTAAGACGGTAGCCTCTTGCGGAGTAATGAAGGATTCGAAACGCAGCAAGCCGTGTGGTCACCGTTGAAACTTTCAGCTAAGTATGGGTGGGTTGCTTCGTAAGGACTAGGAAAAAAGGTATGAATGAGGACTTGATAATTCTCAAAGTAAAAGTACTAAGTAGGCGTACGCGTTTCGGCCTGTGAGGCCTTCATCAGCTTATGATGGAGAGATTAGCTAAGACACGTCATCTGGTGATGATGGAGACGAGGCCTCTAGGAGAGGGACGCGAGAAAAGAAAGGGAAAACGTTTGATGTTTTAGTCGATTGAAGAACCAATCCGGAAAAGAAGTTACAAAAGGTTTCAGGAAGATTTGTGATTCAACTCATAACAAGGTTTTAAGAGGTCTTTGGTCCTGATACACACCGTCACTTACATGCCTTTCCAGTCGACTCAAAAGAGGTCTTAGGTTTTCATGCACGGCGCCACTTACAGGCCTGTGAGAGACGGTAGGGCGAAGAGTGACGATGGGATAGAGCCGATGAACCAGTTATAGTGAAGGAACCTGTAACGAGTACGAGGGACAGGAGAAATGCGTGGAAAGCGATCATAACGTGCTCACTAAGTCACAGCCACAGGTCATACTTTTGAGAATTCTCTAAAGTTCCTGACTTTTGAGTCGACTCAAAGGTCCCTGAGTTGTGGGACTACTACGCAATGAGGAGAGGAGCTAATGTGACTTCTGAGTCGCGTAAAAAAGGCGAATGTGAGGGCGAATGTGAGGGCGAATGTGTCCCTGTGTTGGTGGGACAACAAGGCAGTGAGAAGAGAGGCTGATGTGACTTCTGAGTCGCAGTGAGGAGAAAGCCCTTAGGTCACCCTACCCTTCAACGGATCAGTCACAGCAGTCATCCCCACACATACATAGAGCACACAACTTCTGCTTTGGTATGGGCAAAACACTCACAGGTCTTTGAGGGACGACAAGGCTGTGAGGGTCGAGACGAAAGTGAGGAGACGCGCCTGAAAGAGGTTGTAACCAAGGTCCCTGGGGGTTGGACGAGGGGAGAGGATGGAAACCATGAGATGCGAGTAAGGCAGTGAGGGGTTGTGCAGGGGGGTGGAAGGAGGGATGTCCTGTGAAAGAGGTTGTAACCGAGGTCCCTGGGAGAGAGTGATGTGGGTGCGTGAATATGGAAGGGTGGTGGAAAGCGGGGTGAAGGTACGAGAAAGAAAGACGGCTGCATGTTGCACAAAGGTAGAGACGCCTGCCTGGAAGAGGGTTCAGCCGAGGTCCCTGGGGGTGGTGTGGGTGGGCGAACGAGCATGGAAAGGGCTCATACGCTGCACCGCCCGCTCATGTGCTGCACCGCCCGCTCATACGCTGCACCGCCCGCTCATACGCTGCACCACCCGCTCATACGCTGCACCGCCCGCTCATGCGCTGCACCGCCCGCTCATGCGCTGCACCACCCGCTCATACGCTGCACCACCCGCTCATACGCTGCACCGCCCGCTCATACGCTGCACCTCCCGCTCATACGCTGCACCGCCCGCTCATACGCTGCACCGCCCGCTCATGCGCTGCACCGCCCGCTCATACGCTGCACCGCCCGCTCATGTGCTGCACCGCCCGCTCATGCGCTGCACCGCCCGCTCATACGCTGCACCGCCCGCTCATACGCTGCACCGCCCGCTCACGCTCATACGCTGCACCGCCCGCTCACGCTCATACGCTGCACCGCACGCTCATACGCTGCACCGCACGCTCATACGCTGCACCGCCCGCTCATACGCTGCACCTCCCGCTCATACAGTGCACCGTACGCTCATACGCTGAACCGCCAGCTCATACGCTGCACCGCCCGCTCATACGCTGCACCGCCAGCTCATACGCTGCACCGCCAGCTCATACCCTGCACCGCCTGCTCATACGCTGCCCCGCCCGCTCATACGCTGCACCGCCAGCTCATACGCTGCACCGCCCGCTCATACGCTGCACCGCCCGCTCATACGCTGCACCGCCCGCTCATGCGCTGCACCGCCCGCGAATATGCTGCACCCGCTCATACGCTGCACTGCCCGCTCATACGCTGCACCGCCCGCTCATACGCTGCACCACCCGCTCATACGCTGCACCACCCGCTCATACGCTGCACCTCCCGCTCATACAGTGCACCGCACGCTCATATGCTGCACCGCCCGCTCATACGCTGCACCGCCCGCTCATAAGCTGCACCGCCCGCTCATACGCTGCACCGCACACTCATACGCTGCACCGCACACTCATACGCTGCACCGCCGGCTCATACGCTGCACCGCCCGCTCATACGCTGCTCCGCCAGCTCATACGCTGCACCGCACACTCATACGCTGCACCGCACACTCATACGCTGCACCACCCGCTCATACGCTGAACTGTCCGCTCATACGCTGCACTGCATGCAAGCGCGGGCATGCATGCATACATACATAGTACATGTGTGCGCAAGTATGCATACACCTATGCAAATGGTGGTATAGACACATGCACATGCATGTAAAGACACATGCACATGCATGTATAGGCACATGCACACAACATACATGTATAGGCGCATGCACACAACATACATGTATGTAAGCCCCGTCAATTTGGAGATGCTCGAATGGACGGTCCCGATAAGGCCCTGGCGATTGAGATTGCTGTGGTGTAGTGGATGGGAGTGGTAGGGTTGCAACAACGAGCGGAGAGAAGGTGCGGGGAAGGTGAGAGGAGATGGACTGTTGGTTGAGATTGCTGTGGTGTGGTGGATGGGAGTGGTAAGCATGCAACATGTCGGAGTTGCGGCTGCACTCTTCTTTGCCTTGATTCTCCTGCTCTGTCTCTTCTTCGTTCCCTCTATTGCCTCAGCCACTCTCACCTCAACGGTCCTCCCTGAGTGGGTGTCACCAAACGCAAGGCTAGAGGTAACCAGAATCCACTATACGAAAGGATAACAAACGGAAAGCATTGTGTGTGTGTGTGAGAGTGAACTTACCTGTCCCTGGCTCGAGCCGTGCATTTCTCAATGTGCGGCTCGGGCCTGGGTGGGTTTGTTCCCATTGGTCGCGAGGATTTCACCCCTTGGTGATCTCCTACTGACTCCGCGTCAGTTTCCCAGCCCCCCACCTACTTATCCTTGAGGCTGCATACACCAAATACAACACATCACTACACCCGTCCTACACCTTAATCATACTGGCACCTTATATGCACAACCGCGCATATTCGGTGACAAACACGAAGGGGAGAGAAGGGGCTGTGGAGTGAAGGGGTGGTGGGAGAGAGAGATAACAGAAACAGCAGCAGACAGCAACAGAGGATGCAACAGCAGCACAGCAACCTTCCAGCATTCTCAGAAGGGCAACAAGGAGGAAAAGGAAGGTTGCCCTCCTCCTGTACAACAGTCATCTGCTCGTTACACTCACATCAACTTCTCGTTACACTCACATCAACTTCTAGTCACACTCACATCAACTTCTCGTTACACTCACATCAACTTCTCGTTACACTCACATCAACTTCTCGTTACACTCACATCAACTTCTCGTTACACTCACATCAACTTCTCGTTACACTCACATCAACTTCTCGTTACACTCACATCAACTTCTCGTCACACTCACATCAACTTCTCGTTACACTCACATCAACTTCTCGTTACACTCACATCAACTTCTCGTTACACTCACATCAACTTCTCGTTACACTCACATCAACTTCTCGTTACACTCACATCAACTTCTCGTTACACTCACATCAACTTCTCGTTACACTCACATCAACTTCTCGTCACACTCACATCAACTTCTCGTCACACTCACATCAACTTCTCGTTACACTCACATCAACTTCTCGTCACACTCACATCAACTTCTCGTTACACTCACATCAACTTCTCGTCACACTCACATCAACTTCTCGTTACACTCACATCAACTTCTCGTCACACTCACATCAACTTCTCGTTACACTCACATCAACTTCTCGTTACACTCACATCTTGACAACTGCCCCGGCTGCATTACACTCAACGCCCTTCCACGCACTCGCAGCAGCTGACGTGGGGGGCAGAGGAGGTGGGGAAGGGCACTCGAATCTACTCTCACTACACTCACACCCACTCACAACAACTTCTCGTCACACTCACATCTTCACGACAGCACCAGCTGCATTACACTCGACGCCCTTCCATGCACTCGCAGCAGCAGACGCAGGTATAGGAGCCGCCAAGGCCCCAGCCACCGAGCAGAGATACGCCAGTGAAGGCGAGGAGGCAGTGGGAAAGGAGGCAGACGTTGAAACCACCCCCATAACGGTCGCAGTAGGAACGGAGGCCCATGAGGAGAGAGTCACTCCCAGGGACGACTTCAGAGCCAGCATGGCCTGAGATGATCCCGAGGCCATGCCGATGAGAGCACAGAACATCGGGAGCAGCGGAGACGAGGAGGTGTAAGGCGTGCCCTTGCTGAAAGGGACCGAGGCATTCGGAGTACATGAGCCTCCCCCGCATAGCACCTGGGAGGACCCCGGTGCAGGTACCACCCAGCCTGTACCTGCTGGATCCGCTGCCATGGTGACGTTGCAGATGGAGCACGCAGCAGGGGTGCGCTGGGTGGTGGCGGTGGACACACAGTTGGAAGCCTGGGAGAAACAGTTGCTGGTGGCGGTGCAGTAAGTGGCGGAGTGGGGGGGGAAGGAGCCTGAGAGGAAGTTGTGCTGCAGGTCGATGTATTTGAGGGCCGGGCCCGGGGCTGGGAAGGTTCCGGTGAGGTAGTTGCGGAAGAACTTGCTGCAGAAAAGGGGAGGGGGGAGGGTAGGGGAAAGGGGGTCGGGAGGGGGGTGGGACGGGGGTTTTTGAGGCGCCTCAAATGCCAAGTGCCGGGAAAGGTACATTCATGTGTGAGGTAGATGCAAAAGAGTTTTGAGACGTCTCAAAACTCGTCTCGGAACTTGTCTCAAAACTTGAGGCGCCTCAAACGCCGTAGATTCATGTGAGGTAGATGCAAAAGAATTTTGAGGCGCCTCAAGCGCCAGGTGCTGGGAAAGGTTCCTTTTGAGACTTCTCAGAAGTGAGATCGATGCAAAAGAACTGGGGCTTTACGTTGAGGGAGGAAGAGGGAGGTGTGGGGATAGGATAGGGGCAGGGGAGGTTGAGGGGGGGGAGGGTTCCTAAAGCAAATCTACGTAACAGATTACAGAAGGAGCAAACAAGGGAATGAATGAATCTTTTACCCCTGCTACAAAATCGACTTACATCCAGTAGAGGTTGGGAAGGGCAATGAGGGCAGTGGGTATGGTGCCATACAGCCAGTTCTGGTGAATATGCCTAAAACGGGGACAGGGGGGGAGGGTGATGATCCAAGCAGGAAAAAGGGCGGCGAAAAGAAAGTAGTAGGAAGCACCATAAAGATTGATAACAGTAGATGAAGGTTATATATATAGACATAGACATATACATTAATAAAAAGCCTTGTTGAGCACATCATAAACACATGAGCGCAGCACATCATGTTTGCACCAAGGGAGAAGCATGCACGCACAGGTTGGCGATCCAAGTTCATATTGGGGAGTAGCAGAGCACATCATGTTGGCGATCCAAGTTCATATTGGGGAGTAGCAGAGCACATCATGTTGGCGATCCAAGTTCATATTGGGGAGTAGCAGAGCACATCATGTTGGCGATCCAAGTTCATATTGGGGAGTAGCAGAGCACATCATGTTGGCGATCCAAGTTCATATTGGGGAGTAGCAGAGCACATCATGTTTGCACCTGGGCCATTGCATGCACGCACAGGTTCGCAAGGGTGGTGAGCGGCAGCAGGTTGGACGTGAACGCGGCGAGCCGCTGCACCAAGAGGTTGGTGCCCAGCCCTCTGTCAGGGGGAGGGAAGACAGAGGGAGAGGGGACAGCAAAGGTGGAGGAAGGGAAGACATCACAGCTCATCACAGCTCATCACAGCTCATGACAGCTCATGGCAGCTCATGGCAGCTCATCACAGCTCATCACAGCTCATCACAGCTCATGACAGCTCATGACAGCAGGTTGGATGTGAACGCGGCTAACGGTTGAGCACAGAGGTTGGTGCCCAGACCTCTGCCAGCGGGAGGGAACACGAGGGGGAGGAGGTACAGGAAGGAAGGCGGGAGGACGAGGTGAGGTGGGAGAAGAGGTGAGGAGGGAAAAGAGGTGAGGTGGGAAAAGTGGTGAGGTGGGAAAAGAGGTGAGGTGGGAAAAGAGGTGAGATGGGAAAAGAGGTGAGGTGGGAAAAGAGGTGAGGTGGGAAAAGAGGTGAGGTGGGAAAAGAGGTTGGACGTGACCGCGGCTATCCGTTGAACAATGAGGTTTGAGCCCAGGCCACTGTGGTGGGGGAAGGAACACGAAAAGGGGGAAGCAACTTTTGAGACGTCTCGAGCGGCAGTCGGTTGGATGCAGCTGTGAAACAAAGAGGTTGCTTTTAGTCGACTCAAAAACTGGAACAAAGAGGTGGTTTTTTAGTCGACTCAAAAACTGGAACAAAGAGGTTGTTTTTTAGTCGACTCAAAAACTGGAACAAAGAGTTTTTTTTTTAAGTCGACTCAAAAAGTGGAACACAGAGGTTGCTTAGTAGTCAACCGAAAATCTGGAACAAAGAGGTTGTTTTTTGGTCGACTCAAAAGGTGGAAGACAGAGGTTGCTTTTTAGTCGACTGAAAAACTGGAACAAAGAGGTTGTTTTTTAGTCGACTAAAAAACTGGAACAAAGAGGTTGCTTTTTAGTCAACTCAAAAACTGGAACAAAGAGGTTTGTGCCCAGGCCTCTGTGGTGGGGGTGAAGGGAAGATGAACAACAGGTGTGGAGGAAAGGAGCAGACGACGGAAGGTGCAAGGGGTTCTGAGGTGCCTAGACTAGAACAGCAGAAGCACATGGAGCCATGGAACTAAGAGGTACGTGCCCAGGCCTCTGTGGTGGGGACGAGACGAGGAGAGATGGGAGGGGAAAAGGCGGTCAGAGAGAGCGAGAAACGGGGTGCCTAAGGGGAAAAGGGCTAGCCCAGCTAAGCTGATGGGATAATCACTTTCTCATACACAAAAATATGTAACACAGAAATACGAAAACGTACTTGTAATATTGATTAGCTAATTTAATTCACTTTGAACTCTTCACCCAAAGCTGAGCCTCACACATGTGAGTTGACATGACCAAAATTGTTGTCAGCAGGGCGTACATGTGAGTCAGCATGACCTGGCATGTGAGTCAGCAGCATGACATGGCATGACGTACATGTGAGTCAACACGACCTGGCACGACGTACATGTGAGTCAGCATGACCTGGCATGACGTAATGTGAGTCAGCATGACCTGGCATGACGTACATGTGATTGAGCGCAGTGAGCTTGGAGATTTCTTTTGGGATGCTTCCTGTCAGCTTCTGATTCTCCAGGTCGCTGCAAGGGAGAGAGGAGGCGCAGAGGAGGCGCAGGGAAGGCGCAGGGGAGGCGCAGGGGAGGCGCAGGGGAGGCGCAGGGGAGGCAAAGGGCGTTCTCTTCAAGATTTGCTGCTATTCCGAGATTTCCTTGGGATGCTTCCTGTCAGCTTCTGACTCTCCAGGTCGCTGCAAGGCAGGCAGGGCATAGAAATCACGTTGGGAAGGCATTGAAAGACAATGCAGTTGCAACGTATTGCGAAGCATGTGTGCATGAGGCAAACAGGGTGGATCTTTGCTCACACATATCCATCCACTGCATCGCCCCACTCTCATACATCCATGCCTCCATGCACCCTGCAAATGCACATGCACAACAACACGCACAGCCCACCCCCACGCAAGCACATCTGGCGCACATCCCTTGAGGGTGAGCAAATCACAACCGTCCACTCCCCCCCCTTGCTGCGCCTGGCATACATGCAGCGTCACACGCACGCACGCACGCACGCACGCACGCACGCACGCACGCGCGCACGCACGCACGCACGCACGCACGCACGCACGCACGCACACACACGCACATGCATCACTCCCCGCACACCCACATGCATCACTCCCCGCACACCCACATGCATCACTCCCCGCACACCCACAGCACGCACATCTGGCGCACTTCCCCCGTGGTTGAGCAGATCATGCCCGTCCAGTCCCCTGCTTGTTGTGTCTGGCTTGTGACGGTGCAGCCCGTGTTGCCCGCTGCCCACGTGGTGAGAGTGACGCCCAGCGATGACTTGATGATCAGTAGAGTGTCGACTGGGGGGGAAGGGGGAAGGGGGAAGGGGGAAGGGGGAAGGGGGAAGGGGGGGGGTTGGTGTTGTACAGGGGATGGGGAGTGGGGGGGGAGGCGAGCGCGGGCAGGGAGGGCAGTGGGGAGAAAAATGGCTGGTGAGCGTGCAGGCCGTGTTGCCTTGCCTGCCGCCCACGTGGTGAGAGTGACGCGGAGCGATGACTTAATGAAAAAGAGTGTCGACTGGAAGTGGGGGGAGGTGGGGGGGAGGCACGGGGAGGCAAAAGCGGCGGCAGCAGGGAGGGAGAGTGGATGGGTGGTGAGGGTGTCGCCGAGCGCTTTTGAGAATTCTCAAAAGTGAGGGTGACGCGGAGCGATGACTTGATGATCAGGAGGGTGTCGACTGGGGGGGGGGACAAGAGGCGGTGAGGAGTGGGGGGATAGGGGATGTGGAGTGATGGTGGGGAGGAGGGCCCAATGGGCGGGGGAGGGAGGCGGAAAGGTAGGCAGGGGGAAGGGGACGGCAGGGGGAACGGGAAGGCAGGGGGAAGGGGGAAGAACCGGGGAGACACCGCCCAGCCTGCGGCACCCCAAGGCCCCTTTCCCTCCTTGTAGCAAGTGGTTTTTTAGAACAAGCGATGCGAGGCGAAATCCTAGCTCCCCTTTCCGTCCTCCCCTTTCCCTAGCTCCCCGCTCCGCGCCCTAGCCCTCCGCCTGCCCGCGCTCACTTGTGCTTGCCCTCATAGGCACTGCGCCCACGCGCGGAATAAGCGGAAGAAGCGAAAGAGTCACGGCGCAGAGGAACACGCGGGGCCCCATTATCCCCGCTCCACGCGGAAAAGACCGGCTCGATTCGTCCATCATCCGCGCTCGTTCCGCTCGCCATTCGCATCGCCGCGCCCTTCGCCGCGCGTGCGATATTGACCCTTCTCCTCCCCCGCGCACCTCCCGCATCTTACGCCGCTTTTCTGGTTGCATGGCGCACGCAACGCTGAGCATCTAGCGAATTATATCATACCATCAGCTTCAGCCCAAACATGGGGGTCTTGAAATGCGGTCCAAACCTTTCGTCAGGCTTTCGCGAGCCGAACTAGCGTCGCCTAAACCGCTACCGTCGAAATGCGGCTTTGATGTTGTTTCTGCGTCGAATGTCAGCTGTGGGAACGAACGCGATTACACAGGATGCCCGTTTGAGCCACTCCCGGTTGCCTTGTGAAGGGGGCTTATAAGCTGTAAATTTCAATTCGCATAAGTTTCGTCAATTCGCAGCTAGCAAAAATGGATTCGTCAGGTGCTTATAAATATTTGGAACTTATCCGTTGACATTTTGACTGAAGTCTCTTCAGCATGACTTCGGTCTGTTCGTTACTATTGGTTCATACCCACTGCAAGGTGCGCGACGTGCCTGTAACGTGCGTGCAACTGGCTGGAGAAAAAACCTCGGGTGCAGGTTTTCTATCCGTTTAGGAGAAAATTTGCGTGTAGGGGCTGGGCATCACGTGTATTCTTCGACAACACTGTAACGATTGACTTTGCAACGGAGCAACCATGGCTAGCGCGCTAGCGCAGTGTTTCGCCTACGACCAACACAAGGTGCGCCCGACTCACGTGCGAGATCCGCGTGTCGTTGGCGAAGAACTCGGTTGGTTCGTTTTCCAGCACATGTGCTTCAGGGAGAGGTGGAATGGTTGGCTAGCTCGTGATGTGCGAAGTCCTGCGACGGTATGAAGAGCGTGGCGACGGGTTACATACTATTCATCCACTACAAAACTTGTTAAGTACAGTTGACGCCCAACCTTGTCGCGAAACCAAGAGCAAGTAACGATAATCTACAGTGTATTTCAGAACTATGTGTGTGGTCGAAATGCACAGGAAAGAAATCCCCTTCCGGTGTTTTTATTTCAAAAGATGTTAGCCGTTGTCACGGATCGCAGATGTCTTTGTTTCACAATTTGGTAACGAATGGCACTCGATAAAAAACAACCGAGGCCACTCAGTGGTACACAATATACAATCAGACCACTTACAGTCCAGTTCTTCTGAAATCCCCCGAAACAAGGACATGCAGGAGTGGGCATCCGGTGTACTGTGACAATTGTCTTACACTTTGCCATGGAGCTGGCCGCCAGCTGGATTCACCAGTTCACAACAAACCTGATTTGGTGGTCCCAATATCGGCCAACTTCATACATACTCAGGCTAGTCCCGAGCAGGTTCTCAGGTGTAATCAGCCTGGACTTTCTCGACGTTGATTGGTCGTCGCTTTTTAGTCACACTGTTTACGCTGGTCGAAATGTTTGGGAGGTGACAAAAAGAGAACTATCTAGTTTACCCTCATGACTTGGATTTGTTAAACTTAAGTACGTAAATTTACGACAGGGCAGAAAAAATGAACCCCTATAGAATCTGGACGCATTTGCGGGAGGGATCAACCCTAAACACGGTAAAGGGCATTGTTTTTAGGGTTGATGCCTCCCGAGTCGCATCCCTTCTCGATTGGGTTTTATTTTTCTGGTCAAGAGGGTGCAATCTATTTTTCCTGAAGTGGGCGGCTTCCCGTAGTTGAGGTTGATCTGTCTCGAAATTCATCTAGGTTCGCTACAAGTTATTTTTCAGGTGTTGCATTTTCTGTCGTGACTGTATTTAGAAAATAACAAAAAACACCTACTACTAAATCGCGAGACTGTGTTTCTGTTGGTGATCACACCTGAGAATTCGCTCTGGAATACTTTGAGTATCTATGATATTGGCCGGTCCCAATATTCCACGCAAGCACCACCTCTGGCACAACACCCACAAATTCGTCGCTAGCAAACACAGCACCTAGCCAGACCAGAAGAGACGAAACAGAGGTGAGGGCGGGTCCAGCGCGTACGTTTACAGGTACTTCCAGTTCATCCGTCGATGTTCGAGACGATAGAAACTGGTGCACAGCGGTTTAAAATCTTCACCGTTTTGCACCTCGAGGGAATAAGATAAACCGCACAAAATGAACTGTAGTGCAACCGAAAACGTACGCGCTGGACCCGCCCTAACATGCACAATACACCTGTAACATCCGCGATTCTGCTGTTGCGAGTGTGATTCGTGATTCGTGGAGGTCGGTGGAACAAGGGTGTGGAGTGGAGCCCATCTGTTCAACCTAGGACTGACACCACTTTGCACCATAGTAACATTCAACGGACCTGATAAATTACCGTGCCCAACCCTTTTCGAAGTCGGAACTCAAAGGGCCTCACAAATAATGAACCCCACCATGAAATTTGTGTTCGCCCATCCATGGCGGTGGAGCTTCGAGTGTGGTGTGGTGTCAAGTGATCTTGCGCCAGCCCTCTTCCAGATACAGTGTAGTTTGTCGAAGTGTACAGTACCGAGCCGCACCCCTTGCTGAATCAGTGTGTAACTAGTCGCACCACACCATACCGAGCAAAAACATACAAAACCGTCCTTTATGCGTGTAACGGCATTCCTCCTCCCCTCGCCTTCTCGTCCGTACAAGTTTTCTTCCGCGCTCCGAACCAGCTGCGCGCGCAGTCCGCCACCAATCCTGCCCGTCATCTCAAGAGTCAGCCACAGCTGCCGCATGAAGCGCAGCTTAGACGAGTTCGAAGCGCTTGAAGCGCAAGCTTCAAAAGCCTGTCTTAGATTTCGGGAGTTTGGGCTGTGATCGCCGTGCTTTGGTAGGAAGCTGCAAATGCGCAGTTTGAGTACACGACCACAACAGTGCATCAGAGACAAACAAGCTGCGGTTGTAGTGAAATTTGAATCTCCCCTGCATTAGGGTTTCTAGTACGTCTTCCAGCTATACATTCCCGTGCTTGGCGCTGGCTCCGCGAGCTTCCAGAGGCTTGTATAGCCGAGTAGCGGGATTACTCGGGGATCTTTCTCTGGGAACTCCTCTGACTAGAAGGTGTCGCGCGTTTCTTGACGCGCGGCGATGTCTCGTCGCATACGTTTCGCGAACTGTCGCAAGATGTCGCAGCCCGCGAGTGTGCACTTTTGATTGCGACGTCGGCGGAACTGTAGTCGCGAATTACTATTGCAAGGCGTGCAGTCGTAAAACTCCTCCGACTAGAAGGATCTGCACCGCTTACACTCCGCCGCGTGCCGCGCGCTGATGCGCGTCCCGCGCACACGATCATGGCGCGTTGTCGCGGCGACAGGTTCGGCAGCCCAGCCGCGCGGCGCTTCCAGCGCCTCCCCCCGTCCATCTGGAGAGATCTTTCCGCGTGTTCTTCCCCGTGGGCGCTTTCCGCCATCCCCCAGAAAAGGTCGTTGCGCCCCGCGCGGGGACAAACCCCCCCCGCGCCGGCGCTCCGCAGCCCCGAAGCGGTGATCTGCGCAACGCGTCTGTCGGCGCGTTTGGCGGCGACGATCGCTCTCCTGCTCGTCGCCAGCATGTGCGGCGGCTTCTGCGGCCGCGCTAGCGCCGTCGCTGTCAATTATAACGACTGTAAGCCGGCGAAACTAACAATTACCACTCTTGTTACCCTGTCGCCGGCCAATGTGGCTGCACGCGAGGAATATGCTTGCATGTCATGCTTATAAATGCGCGCTTTTTCTGAGCCGCCTCAAAAATAGACTATGTCGTGCCAAAATGCGCACTTTTTTTTCCCCTTGTCTCTGAAACGCCCGCTTCTCCTCCGCATTCCCCTATTTCTGCCCCTCCCCATTCCCTTCCCTCCCCGATTCTCCTTTTCCCCAATACTCCTCCCGTCCCCCTTCCCCCCCATCCTCTCCTTCCCGCCGTTCCTCTCCGTTGTCCCCCATTCCGCGCCCGGCGCAACGAGCGCATCCGCGCCTGCGCCCGCCGAACCCCCACTCCCCCCAGAGACCCTTGCTGCGCGCTGATCTCAGTCCGCTACGCGCCTCACGAATAGGCCCCCATCCCCCCTTCCCCTCTTTCCCCTCTCCCCTCCCCTTCCCTCCAAAACACCCTCGTTGCGCTGCGTGCTGAGCGCCTTTCTTTAGGCGCCCCAACCTAGAGCTCCCCCTTCCCCCAAGCCGAGCTTCACTGCACCCGCCCAACGCGCTCTATTCCCACCTCCCCCCCTCTTTCCGCTTCCCCCCAATCACATGCAAGTGCTCCCCCTCCCCCGGTGCGCCCAAGGGTCGCACTCTTCTCTCTGCGCGCCGAGCTGAGCCTCACCACGCCCGCCTCGCGCACGCCCAAGGCGCTCTGTTCCATTCTCCCTCCCCACCCCTCCCCCTTCTTCCCCGCTCCCCTCCAACCCTCCCCCTCCCCCAGTGCCTCCCAGGGGGCGCGCTGCTGTTGCTGCGCGCCGAGCTGAGCTGCACAGCGCCTCGCGCACACCCAATGCACTCTGTCCCTTCCCCCCCTTTCCCCCTCTTCCCTCTCCCCCTGTGCTCCCCAGGGGCGGCGCTGCGCTGCTGTCTCTGCGCGGCGAGCTGAGCTTCACCGTCCCTGCCTCGCGCACGCCCAAGGCGCTCTGTTCTTTCCCCCTCCCCTCCCCCTTCTTCCCCGCTCCCCCCCAACCCTCCCCCTCCCCCCCAACCCCCCCCCTTTCCTCCCTCTTCCCTCCCCCCCCTGTGCTCCCCAGGGGGCGCGTTGCTGTCACTGCGCGCCGAGCTAAGCTTCACCGTCCCCGCTGCACTCACTCACGCCCAAGGCGCTGTGTCCCTTCCCTTTCCTCCCTTCCTCTATCCTTTTATTGCCCCCCCCCCCCCCCCCCCCCGGTGCTCCCCAGGGGCCGCACTCCTCTTGCTGCGCGCCGAGCTCAACATCACTGTCTCTGCCTCGCGCACGCCCAAGGCTCCTAGTCCCACCTTCCCCCAACCTTTTCCCCCATCCTTTTCCCCCAACCTTTTCCCCCATCCTTTTCCCCCATCCTTTTCCCCCATCCTTTTCCCGCAACCTTCCTCCTCCCCCCCCTTCTCCCCAGGGGCCGCACTCCTCTCGCTGCGCGCCGAGCTCAACTTCACTGTGCCCGCATCGCGCACGCCCAAGGCGCTGTGGGTGTCGCGGGGGAGTTGTGGCGATCTGTATGGCGTGCGGTGCGACGAGCAGGGCAGCGTGACCTCGCTGTGAGTGCTCCTCTCATCTCACTCTCTTGCTCTGTTTCCCTGCGAGTCACGCTGTGAGTTCCCAAGGCGCTGTTGTGTGGGCATGGAAGGGGTTGTGACGACCTGTATGGGGTGCGCTGCGACGACCAGGGCAGCGCCAGCTCCCTGTGAGTGCTGCGCAGCGCTCTCTTCTTACTCTCCTTTTCTCTTTTCGGGGCGTAAAATTAAATGCTATGTGCACACGTTTACACATACGCACACCCACGTGTGCTTCTCTGCGGGCAGCCCCTCTCCCCGCCCGCCTTCTCTCTTCCCGTTCCCCTCTCCACCCTCTCTCTCCGTCCCCACCCTCCCTTCCCTTCCCGTTCCCCCACCCCCTCCGCCCTCTCTCTCTCCCCCCCACCCTCCCCTCCCATTCCCCCACCCCCTCCGCCCTCTCTCTCTCTCTCTCTCTCTCTCTCTCTCTCTCTCTCTCCCCCCAGTCTCCTGTACAGCGTCACAGGCACGCTTCCCTCTGCAATCGGCAACCTCACAGCTCTCACCACACTGTGAGTCTGCCCTTTCACCGCTCTGCACCGCACTGCCTCTCCCTTCAGTCCTCTGCTGCGTGATCTCCAGTTGCCCATAGCAGTTGCCTGCTCGCTCGCTACCTCTGCTTGTGGCGCCTCAAAAATATGCTCTTTTTGCCCCTTGTTGTCCCACTTCACCCCCAACCCACACCGCCACCCATCCCCACCCATCCCCGCCCATCCCCACCTAATCCCCACGCAGCTCCGTCTCCTCAAACCTCTCATGCCCGCTCCCATCCCGTCCACCAGCACCACCCTCACCGCGCTGGTCAATCTCCATCTCAGCCGCAACAACCCTTTTCCCATTGCCACCCACCCACCCTCTACCCCACCCATGCTACCCCCATACCCACGCCCCATGCACCCCACACAGCTCCGTCTCTTCCAGCCTCTCATGCCCGCTCCCATCCTCTCTCACCACTCTCACCGCGCTGGTCAATCTCCATCTCGGCCGCAACAGCCTCTCCTGCTCGCTGCCGCCCTGGCTCACCACGCTCTCGAAGCTCAAGATTCTGTAAGATCTGATTTGATTCGTTTCGTATGGCCTGGTTCTGTTCGGTTGGATGCGGTATCGTCCGATAGGACTCTGTTCCATGCGGTTCTGATCTCAACGGTGTGGTACTGTCCGGTAGGATTCTGTCAGATACGATTCTGTCTGTGGCATCAAAGGACCAGGAGTGGGTGTCCCTGCCTGCCTGTGTTCATTCTCGCTCCCCCGGTGCTGTGTCAACTCGAGGACTCATACCCGCTTTCCGCCCCCCCCCTCCCCTGCTCCACCCCTCCTCCCCCGCTTCCCACGTCCCCGTCCCTTGTTCAGGAGCATAGAATGGAACAAGATCACAGGCAGCATCCCGGCAGGCATCTCCGCACTCTCCTCGCTCTCCGCTCTGTAATGCCGCCATGCACCCATGCATGCATGCACCCATGCACCCATCCCCCCCATTCAATCCATCCATGCGCCATGCACACACGGACTCTATGTCCCCCAATGTGTTCAATGCTCCGAATTCATGCCGCCCCCCTTTTCGTCCTAACCTCAACACGTGCCGCCCTTTTCTGCTACGTCCCACTGGATGCCGCCCCTCCACTACATTCCAATGCATGCCGCCCCTCCCCCTTGGCAACATCCCCATTGCAGGCGAGCGGACTACAACCTTCTGACCGGCTCCATCCCGGCTGCTATCGGCAAGCTCACTAACCTAACCCAACTGTGAGCAACTATTGACTGGTTAAGGCGCTTCAGAAATGGTCACTCCGGCGACACTCAATCAACAACAATACTGTTGCTTCCAATCAATCAACCCCCTCTCCTTTCCTCCCCAGCGACACTCAACCCCAGTTTTCTCGCATTCGACAGCCTCAGCAGTTTCTGAGGCGTCTCATAGTTTTCCTCCACATCCTATCCTCCCCTCTCTCCTCCCCTCCTTTTCCCCCCTGCCATGCTCCCCTGCAGTTCGCTTGCCTTGAACAGCCTCAGCGGATCCATCCCAGCAGCTCAGGGCCATATTTCTGGGACATCTCCTTTTGAGTCGACTCAAAAGGGCCATATTTCTGGGACGTCTCATATCACTCCCCTCCACATTGCCCCCCCTCTACCCACCCTTCAACCACGCTCCCCTGCAGTTCGCTTACCTTCAACAGCCTCAGCGGATCCATCCCAGCGTCTATAGGCCTGCTAAAGCAGCTCAGAACCCTGTACGTAGTATGAAGAGGGGTTTGGTAAGCATCTAGTGTCCATCTAGTGACCCTGGGCAACATACTCACAGGGCCCGTCGCATCGCATCCCATCGAGTTGACTCAAGAAACATACTCACAGGGCCCGTCCCATCCCATCGCAAATCAGGAGCCTGGTGTATCTCGAGTCGACTCAGGATTCGCCCTGTTCTCTCCTCTCTCTCCCCCCTTACTATCCCCCATCACACAGCGACCTGCGGGGCAACATGATTGCAGGATCCATCCCCTCGCAACTCAGCACCCTCTCTCTCCTCTACCGCCTGTGAGTGAGCGTCTCGTTTCTGCTGTTTGTGGGAGATGATTCTTGGGACATTTTTTCCAGTGAGCAGCACTTGCGTAGTTTTGAGTCGACTAAAAAAAACTCGGGTCTTGTTTCTGCTGTTTGTGGGAGGTGATTCTTGACTCGATAAAAAAAAAAAAAAAAACGCCTCTTTTTTAACATGCCTCAAAAGTCGACTCCGAAAGCACTTCTCGTTTCTCAACTGCCTGCAAGGCGTTGTGACATCTCTGAGAAGCATTGTTTGTGACATCTCTGAGAAGCTTTGTTTGTGACATCTCTGAGAAGCCTTGTTTGTGACATCTCTGAGAAGCATTGTTTTTCCTCCTGTCTCGCTCGCCCCTCTCGCCCCCCTCACCCCTCTTAACAGCTGGCTTCAAAGCAACGCGCTCACAAGACCAAATCCCTCCTCCCTCTCCCTTCCCTTTTTTGTTTCACGCTTGTCCTTGTCGCCCCTGTCGCCCGTCTCACCCCGCTCGTTGCTACAGCTCTCTACAGAGCAACGCTCTGACAGGACCCATTCCCTCCACCCTCTCCCTACCGGGCCTCAGACACCTGTAAGGCTTAGATACAGCAACACCTGAGGCGTGTCCACACACCTTGAGTAACGCTCCCTGCAGACAGTTGCGGGGTTTTGAAAAGCCGTGTTGTGAAGCAGTCAGGGGTTCTTCTTGCGCACAATTGTGCTCCCCATACCCCCCCCCCCCTCCCACCAGGCAATTCAGTCTCAGCTGCAAACGCGCACAAATGCGCGACTAGGGTGAATGCATGCATGTGAAGCCGAAGTGACTTTTGAGTCGACTCAAAAGTCAAATGCGCGACTAGGGTGAGTGCATGCATGTGAAAGAAAGAGGGCAGTTTACGTGGCCTCCCTCCCAAAGAGATTCTCATGCCCTTCCTCCCCTATGTCATGTGAAATACCTCCTCACACACACTCTCCCATGCTTCCCCATGCTGCCCCACTGCCCTGGGCAGGACAACAACGCACTCTCTGGACCCCTGCCATCAACCCTGGGGAATCTCACTTCCCTCGCCCCATCTCTCTCCCAATGCCCCTTCCTCATGCCCTCCCCGTGCCCCTGCTCCATTCCTCATGCCCTCCCCGTGCCCCTGCTCCATTCCTGCCCCCACAGTGCTCTGGACAACAACGCACTCTCGGGGTCCCTGCCATCAACCCTTGGAAATCTCACTTCCCTCGCCTACTTGTAATGCCCCTCCTCTCCTCCTCTTGAACCCCCAATGCTCCTCCCTCGCTCCCTCCGTCCCTCCTCTCCATCCAGCCAGAATCCATTCACTCACTCACTCACTCACTCACTCGCTCACTCGCTCAGTCAAGATTTTGCTCAAAGCCTTAAGGCATCCTGCTTGAAATTCAACCCTATTGTGCACATGCCATGTTTTGAGTCGACTTAAAGCCCGCACCATGCTTGAATTTCTCCTCAATTGCGCACTTGCCATCCATCCACTCACCCATTGCGTTCTTACTCGTTTGAAATCATAATCCTCCATTCGCCCCTCCAACCCCAGTCCCCTCATTCTCACTCACTTCCCCACTCACCCCAACCCCTCGCTCGTCTAACTCCCCCTGTAATTCCCAGATCAGCATGCAACAACCGCCTCTCCTCATCCCTCCCCGCGTCCCTCTCTGCTCTTATTCTCCTTCAACACTTGTACGAACACCATTCCTCTCCTCTCCCTCCTTACCTGCCTTTCTACCTTCCTTCCCTCTCTCCCTATCTCCTTATTTCCTCCCCTGTCACCTTTTCCCCCCCTGCGTCCCTCTCTGCTCTTACTCTCCTTCAACACTTTTACAAACATCATTCCTCTCCCTCCCTCCTTCCTTCCTTCCTTCCTTCCTTCCTTCCTTCCTTCCTTCCTTCCTTCCTTCCTTCCTTCCTTCCTTCCTTCCTTCCTTCCTTCCTTCCTTCCTTCCTTCCTTCCTCCCCTCTCTTTTTCCCTATGTCCTTTTTCCCCCTCTCCTCTCCTTCCCCACGTTCTTCTCTGCTCCTACCAGAACCCTTCGCAATCAGCTTGCCTCCCTCCACTCCTACTACCCTCCCTGCTCTTTAATATGACATTTGAGTCTACTAAAGAAATCGAAATTCGCTAAAAACACCCTCCTTCAGACTCCCAACGACCCCATCCCGCAATCTCCTTTCCGGCTCCATCCCTGCTGGCCTCTCTGCTCTTCGAGTCGAGATTACTTTTGAGCCCACTCAAAGTCTCTTTCATACGCCCACCCATTTCTGCCCCCCCCCAGAGATCTCTCGCGCAACCTCCTCTCAGGCTCCATCCCTGAAGGCCTCTCTTCTCTGCAAGAACTCTCCTCGCTGTAAGCACACCTGCTGTAAGCACACCTGCTGTAAGCACACCCGCTGTAAGCACACCTGCTGTAAGCACACCCGCTGTAAGCTCACCTCCCTCGCATCATCGCACATTGGTCATGGCATACAGCACAGCACAGCACTCGTTCCATAACTACCGCATCATACCTGACTGAAACCTCTCTGCTGCCGTCATATCAGCGTGACCCTCTGTGCTGCCGTCACATCTGATCGAACCCGTGCTGCTGTGCAGGCTACTCAACGGCAACTCCTTCCAAGGGCCCATCCCATCCGCCCTCTCCTCCCTCGTTTCTCTCTACGAAATGTGAGCTCCTCGATTCTTTTGCCCCACCCTTTTCACCGCGCCTGCCTAACCTTACCCTCCTCCCATCGCCATGCGCCCCTCACCTTGCCTCATGATTAATCAAGGCTCAAAGGTTTGTGAGTGGCAATAACCCTGACTTCTCTGCTCACATCACCTCACCCAATCCCTCCTTCCCCCTCCCCACCCCCCACCCCTTCTCCCTTCGTCCTTTTTCTTCTACTGAGGCGTTTCAGAGTAGACCACCCACGCCCTCTTTCCCCCCTCAACCCCTGCCTCTCCCCGTGCGCCCTCCCCTCGACCTTCCCCTCCCCCTTCCCCTCTCCCGTCCGTCCCTCCCCACCGTCCACCGTCCACCTTGGCCTGTCCCTCTCCCCGCCCCGCCCTCCTCCTCTCCTCTCCCCCAATCCTCCAAGCAGAGACCTGTCGGCCAATCAGCTGTCGGGAACCCTCCCTCCCATCTTCACCAGCTCCATGCCTGACGTCAGCATCATGTGAGTGTGACGTCAGCAGCATGTGACTGACGTCTGCATCATGTAAGTGTGACGCCAGCAACATGTGAGCGTGACGTCATCATCGTGTGAGCGTGACGTCATCATCATGTGTACGTGACGTCAGCATCATGTGAATGTGACGTCAGCAACATGCGATTGTGACGTCAGTAGCGTGTGAGTGAGCATGACACTGGCTGGCATCATGTTTTGTTTTACAGAGAGTCTCTTGAGGTCCAGTATTCACTTGGCTTGGCTGTTTTACAGTGTGTTGATGCTGTTGTTCAAGCGTGGTCATTTCATTTCACACACTGCTGCCCTTCTAATCTAATATCAGCCAAGACGGTCCATTTGTGTTCAATGCTCTTCCCCCCCTCACACCTCCTTCTGTTTTCAGCTCAGCTCCCCTCCCTCTCTGTCCTTGGTCCCCCATTCTCGTCCCTCCCCTCCAGCCGTTTGAGTCAGAACCATTTGCACGGCCTCCTGCCACCGTCACCGGCGACTTGCTCTGCTCTCTACTCACATGGGCGTTTCTTTACAGCGAGCATGCATGTCATGCCCTCTCTCTGTCCTTCCGTATCCCCCCTCCCTCCCCTCCAGCCGTTTGAGTCAGAACCAGTTGCACGGCTTCTTGCCAACGTCACTTGCAACCTGCTCTCTGCTGCACACGCTGTGAGTGCTTCTCTGAACTATCCAGGCTTGAATGCACCGCACGGCCTCTCTCTGCGTGTTATTCTCAGCTCCAAGTGTGACTGTCTTACCCTCTTTCTTACCCTCCCCACTTTCCCTCGTCTTCCTCCCTCCCACCCATTCACATCACACCATCTGTTACACTCCCCCCCATGCTTTCCTGCCCCCTCTCCCTTTCCCCCATGATCGCCAGTGACATTGCTGCGAATGCCTTCACGGGTGCGCCCGCTACCCTCATCAGCCGCCTCTCGTCACTTGTGGAACTGTGAGCTCTCCTTGCCCCTCCCAGTTGACTTTGAGTCGACTCAAAAGTCAGTCGACTCAAAAGTCAGTCGACTCAAAAGTCGGTCGACTCAAAAGTCGGTCGACTCAAAAGTCGGTCGACTCAAAAGTCGGTCGACTCAAAAGTCGGTCGACTCAAAAGTCAGTCGACTCAAAAGTCTCCTCACTTGTGGAACTGTGAGCTCTCCTTGCCCCTCCCACTACTCTTCATTCCACCCCCCACACGCTCTCATCACCCTCATCTGCCACGCCGCCCCACACTCTTCATTCCTCCCTTGTAGAGCTGTGAGCGAGCTCTCTCATCAACTCGCACATCACTTCTTCTCAGTACCGCTCCCAACACTCTTGAACCACCTCAAACACAGCCTCATCACCCTCATCAGCCGCCTCTCCTTGAACGACTGTGTTCTGATGCGCCCATCTGCCCCTCACCATGAACCCCCCTCACCCCATCCTGCAGCAGCCTCTCATGCGACTGCTCCAGCTTCTCCTCCCCTCCCTCACTCACTCCCCGCCGCTTATCTCTTCCCATCCCATCCCCCCCTCCCCCTTCCGCCCCCCCACCAGCAACCTATCGCGCAACTACTTCACGGGTCTCCTCCCATCGCTCCCCTCTGCCGCATCTCTCCTCTCTCTGGACCTCTCCTCCAACTTCTTCTTCGGCCCCGCCGTCCCCCTCGATGCCTCCGGCGCCCCCATCTGCCCCTCGCTCTCCCTCACCGTCCGCACCGCCAACAACTGCCTCACCTTTGACGCTTCCGTCTGCGATGCTGCTGGTGATGGTGATGGGGCTGTTGCGACGAGAAGCGCGGATATGATGAGCAGCAGCGGTAGTGGTGGTGGTGGTGGTGGTGATGGTGGTTCTTCTGGCAACGTTTGGATCAGCTCTGTAAGGGACACTGGTAGCAGCAGCGCGAGGGTTACTGCTCAGAGCATTTCCACTAGCAGTAGCACCATTAGCAGCAGAAGCAGAGCTAGGGCTGCTGATGAAGAGAGAGCGGGCTTTCTTGGACACAAGGAGAGGGCGGAGATGGTGGGGCGTGAAGAGAAGAGGAGAGAATCGCTCCCAACTCACACCACCACCACTGCTAACCTTATTCCCTCCTCTCCTCATGTCCTCGCCTCTGGGTCATCTCTTGAACACAGCGTGGGAGGGGTCTTGTTTGGACACAAAGAGAGGGCCATTCGAGGGCGTGAAGAGGAGAAGAGGGAACGGCAGCCTGGGTCTAGCGTTGATGCCCCCACTGCTCATCTGATTTTTGAGTCGACTCAAAAATCAACTAGCGTTGATGCCCCCACTGCTCATCTGGTAGCGACTCTTGAGTCGCCTCAACAGCAGCAGCATGCTCAGGCCACCACTGCCGACCTTGAAGCTTCCTCTCCTCATGTCCGCCCCTCCCTGCCTTCGTTTGAAGAGCAATTGCGCGCCGCTTTTCTCGGGCACAGGGAGAGAGCGGAGATGGTAGGGCGTGAGGAGAAGGAGCAGCAGAAGCAACAGGTAGCACCTTGGGAGGCGCATGAGGGGGAGATGACCTCTGGTGCTGCCACTACTGACCATCTCGCCTCACAAGACAACGAAGGAAGGCTGGAATTTCCAGGGCACAGGGAGAGGGCGGAGATGCTGGTCCGTGGAGAGAAGGAGCAGCGGGAGCAGCAGGCAGTACGAGCTGAGGAGTATCAGGGGGAGATGGCCTCTGGTGGCGACCTTTTCCATGCAGCCACCCACGATGATGAGAACAGGGCTGCTTTTTCCGGGCACAGGGAGAGAGCAGAGATGGTAGGGCGTGAGGAGAAGGAGCAGCAGAAGCAACAGGCAGCTTTTGAGGCGCCTCAAAAGGAGAAGGAGCAGCAGGTAGAGCTGTGGGTGGTACCAGATGAGCAGAGCTCTGGTGCTGTGCTCGGCCGTGCGGCATTGCATGAAGAGGGGAGGGGAGAAGGAACAGGGTTTCGTGGAGGGAACAGAGACAGCTCTCATGCCCACGCCCATGGCCATGGCCATGCCCCTGCCGACGGCCATGCCCCTGCCGATGGCCATGCCCCTGCCGACGGCCATGCCCCTGCCGACGGCCATGCCCCTGCCGACGGCCACGCCCACGCCCACGCCCATGGCCATGGCCATGCCCCTGCTTCGCATGTGTCGCATGCGCATGTGCAAGCGGCATTCCATGATGGTGAAAAGCGGGCTGCCGTTTTGAAACATGGACACGGCCACGACCATGCTTTGCATGCATCTCATGTGCTGCCCTCTGATGAAGAGGTGACTTTTGTTGAGTCCACTCAACAGCCACCTCGTTTTTCCGAGTCCGGGCATCTCCACGCGCACGTCGGGCATCTCCACGCGCACGCGCCATCCGATGAAGAAGAAGCGCCGCTGGCGGCAGCAGTGGGGAAGCACAAAGAGAAGGACGAGGAGGAGAGTGTGGACCATAGACGCCGCTCCGTTCACCTGCCCACGCACGCCCATGTGTCACATGTGCATGTGGTGTCTCACCCATCGCACGTGCATGTGCCGTCCCATCATGTCGATACACTGCTGCCGTCGTGGCACAGAGAGAGGGCGGAGGAGGTGGTTGGGCACAGAGAGAGGGCGGAGGAGGTGGTGGGGCACAGAGAGAGGGCGGAGGAGGTGGTGGGGCACAGAGAGAGGGCGGAGGAGGTGGTGGGGCACAGAGAGAGGGCGGAGGAGGTGGTGGGGCACAGAGAGAGGGCGGAGGAGGTGGTGGGGCACAGAGAGAGGGCGGAGGAGGTGGTGGGGCACAGAGAGAGGGCGGAGGAGGTGGTGGGGCACAGAGAGAGGGCGGAGGAGGTGGTGGGGCACAGAGAGAGGGTGGAGGAGGTGGTGGGGCACAGAGAGAGGGCGGAGGAGGTGGTGGGGCACAGAGAGAGGGCGGAGGAGGTGGTGGGGCACAGGAGACCGCGGAAACGACAGCAAGTGGATCCCCCTTCCGATGCGGCTCTCCGGCCTGCTCCCGCCCGGCCTGCTCATGCCCATCCGGCTTCCCTTGCAGATGACGAGGAGGAGGGTTTGTTGAGACACAGAGAGAGGATGGAGTTGGTGGGGCATGAGAGGAATCAAAGGGCTTCTGCTCCTGCCCTCGCCTATCTGGCTTCTGTTGGCAATGAGGGGGAAGAGGGCTTGTCGAGACACCAAGAGAGGATGGGCCTGCTAGGGTATGGGGGGAAGCGGAGGAAGCAACAGAGGGGGGTGCAATTAGAGGGGGTGAGACTAGAGGGGATGCGGGAGGGGAGGATGGTGGGAAGGGGAGTGGGAGGGGGGATGAGGCGGACAGGGGGGAAGTGGGGGAAGTGGATCAACCACAGCATGGGGAATGAGCTGCTGGGTCCCGTGGGGCGAGGGGGAGGCAGCAGCAGGCAACGCAGCAGGCAACGCAGCAGACGAGGCAGGGGAGGAGAGAGGGTGCTGCGTAGAGATGGTCTGACTGAGGGGAGACACGAAGAGATTTCTGACACAGCTGGGAGGCAAGAAGAGGTGGAGATTGCTGCGAGTGAAGAGCAGGTGGAGACTGGCCGGCGGCGCTTGGAAGATGTAGCACCTTTGGAGTTGGCTCAAGGCTTGTCAGAGGCTGGCCCGCGGCACTTGGAAGATTTAGCGACATCCGAGCCGGCTCACGACTCATCAAGGTCTGAACGAAGCTTGGTTGCTGCACGGGCAGCTCTAGCAGCAGGCAGGACGCGCAAACCGCAACCACGAAGACAATCCCCACCGAAATCACCACCACCACGCCCTCCCCCTCCGCCTCCCCCTTCTCCTGTGACAATACAGAGCGTGATTCAACAGCAGCGGCCCGCCTCCCAGTGCCTCAGCTTCTGTGGCACGAGCTTCAGCCCTCTTGGGAATGGTGTGAGCTCGCAATCCCTCACTGGGGCTACCAGTGGTGCTAACAGTGGGGCTAACAGTGGGGTTATCAACGCCCAGTGTGGGAACAGTGCTGGGACGTGCCTGGCCACTGTCACACACCCTCCCCCTCCTGTAGCCACTGTGGGAGGGGCAGGAGCTGGGAAAAGGGCGGGAGTGGGGGGGAAGCAGCAGGGGCAGCAGCAGCAGGTGCAGGTTGTGTTTGGGTGCACGTGCCCTTCCTCGAGATACGTGCTGTCTGCTGATCGCATGACGTGCACCCTGAAAGGTAAGGGGATGAATGCGGTGTTGTGTGTGCTGCATGTGTTGTGTGTGCTGCAAGTGTTGTGTGTGCTGCATGTGTTGTGTAGCTGTTGCTCCTCGAGATATGTGCGGTCTGCCAATCGCATGGCATGCACCCTGAAAGGTGAGGAGATGATGGGGGATTGGGTGTGCTGCTTGCGCAGGCTGCTTCTGCTCCTGCTCGTCGCGATACATGCTGTCTGCGAATCGCAGGACATGCGCTCTGAAAGGTAATGGGGGGGAAATGAATTGCAGTGTGTGTGTGTGTGTTTGTGTGCTGCATCTTATAATAGCACGTCATTGCAAGCTATGCAATATGCCCGTTGTGTGTGCTGTTTGCGAATCGCATGACATGCGCTCTGAAAGGTAACGGGATGGATGAGGTGTTGTGTGTGTGCTGCATCTTAGCATTGCAAGTGATGCAATATGCTCTCTGTATCTGCTCCTCCTCACGATACATGCTGAGTGAGGACCCGTGGGACCTCACATTCGTGTCTCCTCACGATACATGCTGTCTGCTAATCGCATGACATGCACTCAGAAAGGTAAGGGGGTGAATGCGGTGTTGTATGTGCTCTCGTACTGCTGCTTCTGGTGTTCTTCTGTGCTGATCTTCCTATTCTGCATAAGCTCCCCCCCAAAGTTTGCATCGCAAGCTATGCAACACGCTCTATGTCCCTGCAACAAGCAAAGTTAATGGCCATATATTCCCACATCGCCTTGCATTAACACTCTCCCTCTTTTGTCCCATCTTCCCCTCTTCCCATCGTCCCACATGCTTCCCCATCATCCCTGTCCCCGCCTGTTTCTCTGCATGACCCACAGCAAGCCCACCGCCACCGCCCCAGCCACCTTCCCCCCCCTCCCCTCCTTCTCCTCCACCCTCCCCACCCTTCCCCCCTCCTTTCCCACCCTCCCCACCTTCCCCATCCCCCCCTCCTCCTCCACCCCCCACCCCTCCAACGCCTCCCACTCCGTCCACTCCTTTCCCTCCACCCTCCCTCACCCTCTCTCCTCCTTCGCCTCTCTCACGTCCCCCATCATCCCCCTCCCCCCTCCCCTCCGCCACACCCAATCCCCCTTCGCCTGCTCAATCCCAGGCTCCCCCGTCACCTCCCCCTCCCCCCTCCCCTCCGGGAGCAACAGCTGCAGCAACTCCTCCTGTTCCCGCTCCACCCTTCCCCCCATCACCTCCCCTCTCTGCCTCCCCTCCCCTCTCCTCTCCCCTGCCACCATCTCTATCACTCCCACCCTCCCCTCCCAATACGCCCAATGCACCCCCCGCCCTCGCTCCTATCTCACCCCCCTCCCTCGCTCCTATCTCACCCCCCTCCCTTGCTCCTATCTCACCCCCCTCCCTCGCTCCTATCTCACCCCCCTCCCTCACTCCTGACCCACCACCCTCCCCACCTTCTCCTCCTCTCTCTCCCCCCTCCCCTCCCAAAGCAACAGCTCCTCCGCTTCCCTCGCCTCCCTTCCCCCCATCACCCCCTCTTTCTGCCTCACTCTCTCAGCCTCCTCCCATCCCCTCATCACTATCACCCCTACCTTCCCCCACCAATGCTCCAGATACACCACCCTCCCTCCCTCCTCTCTCTCCCCCCTCGCCTCCTGAAGCAACAACGCCTCCCTTCCCCCCACCTCCCTTTTCCCCATCACCTCCGCTTTCTGACTCTCCTCCCCTGTCCACTCCCCCACTACCATCACCCCCACCCTCCCCTCCCACCTCTCTTCCTCCTCCCCCTCCCCCCTCCCCTCCTGAAGCAACTCCTGCGCCTCCCTCCCCCCCTTCCCCCCCTCTTTCTGCCTCCTTTTTCATGTCCCCTGTCACCCAATCACCTCCTCCCTCACCTCCCCACCCACCGCCCTTCCCCCCTCCTTATCCTCCTCCCTCACCTCCCAATTCCCCACCCTTTTCCCCTCCCTCCCCACCCGATTCCCCACCCTCCCCCCCTCCCTATCCGCCTCCCTCCCCACCCGATTCCCCACCCTCCCCCCCTCCCTATCCTCCTCCCTCCCCACCACCCTATCCCCCTCCCCTTCGTCCTCCCTCCCCTCCCCAACCACCACCCTCCCCTCCTCTCCCTCCCCCCTCCCCTCCACAACCACCACCCTCCCCTCCACCTCTCCCTCCCCCATCTCCTCCCCAACCACCACCCTCTCCCCCTCCTCAACCTCCACCCTCCCCGCCACCTCTTGCTCCGCCTGTTATGCTTACCCGATGGGAATGCTACTATCAAAACCGCGATACAGGGTGTTCCTGTAGCTGTACCAATGGAAATCAATGTTACTGTACAGTTTGAAATGAAGCATGATGCCTTTACAGGTTGCCCAAGGCAAGCTGGTATCAGAAATTATCATCCATCTATTCTGTAGTATCACCAAGTAAGATCCAATCCATACAAAACAAAACAAAAAAAACATATAAATTACACACAAGTCAAGCTGAGCAAAGGCGAACTTGCAGTGTTCGGGGTTTCCAGTGCGAGGGGCCCATTCGCGTCCGGCTGACACACCTTCGTGCCGCCACATAGCGTACCTGTCCCGCTTGTCAACCCACAAAAGGTACACCCCGTACTCCTTTGTGTCGTGCCCGATGAGCTGCATGCGGCGGCACTTTTAAGGCAGTTATTAGTCGCGTCGCATAAGCTACAGGGTAACGATGGAACCGAGCCTGTGAGGAAGTTGCTGGTGAGTGTGAGCTTGCCAAGGGTGGTTGCAGTGGGCTTGGGTACGGTGCCCGTGAGGTAGTTGCCTCCCAGGGCGCTGTGGGGAGAGAGAGAGGGAGCGGGGATGAGAAAGAGAGAAGGGGATAGGGAAGGGAACAGAGAGGGACAGAGGGAGTGGTTGAGGTGGGCTTGGGTACGGTGCCCGTGAGGTAGTCGCCTCCCAGGGCTCTGTGGGGGGGAAACGGAGAGGGGAAGAGAGAAGCGAAAGGGAACCGGTGAGGTAGAGAGTGGGTATGGGGAAGGAGCGGAGAAGGTAGGGAGTGGGGAAGGGGAGTGGGCGAAAATGAGAAAACCATGCAAAGCTGCAGAGAGAGGGTTACAGACTGGCGAGGAGGGGAAGAAGAAGCAAGCAGGGAGGTGTGAGGGAGCAGGAGTGAACCATGAAACGTGCAGCACATGTTGGTGTCACTCATGAGAATTCTCGAAATTAACATTAACCGGCCACACAGGTATCGAGAGGGACTCACAGGCTGGTGAGGTTGGGGAGGTCGAGCAGGTAGGCGGGCAGTGTACCGTAAAACCAGTTGTATTGCAGGTCGCTGCAGGGTGGGGTGGGGCAGGGTGGGGTGGCAGGGTGGGGTGGCAGGGTGGGGTGGCAGGGTGGGGTGGCAGGGTGGGGTGGCACGGTGGGGTGGGGCACAGTGGCGTGGCAGGGTGGGGTGGGGCAGGGTAGGGGTGACGAGGCAAATATCTTCGGAGGCGGTTACAGATCAGCAGGGGAGGTTGAGCAGGTAGGAGGGTGGTGTGGCACAGAGCCAGTTGCAATGTAAGTGATTTTCACAAACCAGCGGTGTGATTCTCTTGAGCCGCCCAGAAAGACCCGCACAGATGCTAAGAGCACTCACAGCATGACGAGCGTGCAGCAGAGACACAGAGGGGCACTCACAGCACGACGAGACTGGAGAGGGAGGAGAAGTAGGAGACAAAGGAGGCAAGAGGCGTCCAGAATAGATTGCTGTCGAAGGTGCTGCCGAGGGGGATGGTTGGGGGCACGGGGGAAGGGGAGGGGGGGAGAGTGGGGGAATGCAAGTGGGAGAGGCATGAGGCGGTTGCTGTGGAACGGTTTGAAAAGTTGGGGGGAAGGGGGTGGAAAGGGGGCCGGGGAAGTGGGCGGTGGGGGAGGGGGATGGGAGAAAAGTAGATGAGAGTCTCTAGGGTGGGCAGAGGGAGGCGAGGTGAGGCGAGGCGAATCAAGAGCAGTGGTGGGATGGCATGAGATGGCATGGGATGGAATGGCATGACATGACATGGTATGGGATAGCATGGGATGGCATGGGATGGAATGGCATGACATGACATGGTATGGGATAGCATGGGATGGCATGGGATGGAATGGCATGACATGACATGGTATGGGATAGCATGGGATGGCATGGGATGGCATGCCATGGCATGGTCTGCGATGGCGCGGCATGTGGCATGGCATGGTTTGCTGCGGGGGGACGTACAGGCGAGTGAGCGATGTGAGAGCGATGACATCCGAGGCCATGGACCCTTTGAGCTTCTGACTCGTCAAGTCACTGCCATGCAGAAGAGGCACGAGGGTTGAGAGCATGAGAGCATGGAAGTGAGCATGCATGGATTGCCCGGGTGAAAGGCAAGGCAACACGGAGGATGGGTGATGTGAGAGTGCTGCCATCCGCTGCCATGGAGTCATGGACCCCTTGAGCTTCTGACTTGTCAAGTCACTGAGGAGAATGAGCGGCATGGGGCATGGTTATGGGACATGGGGCACGGGGCATGGGCATGACCCATGGGTATGGGGCATGTGAAATGGGGCATGGGACATGGGGCATGAGACATGGGCATGGGACATAGGGCATGGGGCATGGGGCATGGGACATGGGGCATGGGGCATTGGGGAATGGGTATTGAGCATGCAGAGAAAGGCAGCAAGGGGAATGGGGCGTGGGGCACGGGGAATTGGGTTATAGGACATGGGCCCCAAGTAAAGCAAGTGAACTGACAGTTCCCTTGGGAGTCGCTGACTACCAATACCATTACCATTACCATTACCATTACCACTACCATACCAATACCAATACCGATACACTACCATTATCATTACCATTACCATTACCACTACCACTACCACTACCACTACCATTACCACTACAATTACCATTACCATTACCACTCCCAATCAAGTCAAGCGAGTCAACATAGTCAATTTACATGGAGACAACGTTCCCGAGGGAGTCGCACGCCACACCGGGCCAGTCAGAGCCCGAGGTGTATCCCTCCACACTGCACCCCCCACTGCCCCATGCCGTGGCCGTCACTCCCAAGGCGCTCTTGAGAGATAAAAGAGCAGTCACTGCAGGAATGAGAGCGGGAGGAAGGAGCATAGAAACGGGTGGGGATGGGCCGGAATGAAGAGTTTTTATTCACGGCAATGGGAAGGGAATGGGAACAGGCAGGGAATTGATGTTCCCATGACTGCCAATTGTTGTGCTGACTGCCCCATGACGTGGCTGGGAATGGGAGGAGGGGGGGGGGGAACAGGGAGTGGGAGGGAGAGATTGCAGGGGTTGGGGAAAGCAAGAATGGACGGAGGAAGAGGAGAGCAGAGCAGAACAGAGAGCGTTTTGTCTCGCATACGCTTCATCCCTAACGCGTTTCATCTCACACACAGTTCATCTCTAACTCGTTTCATCTCATGGCATTTCATCTCTCAGGTGTCCATTCACTCTCACCTGTAGCAACCGACATCGAAGCTTGTGAGCTGCCTGCATGGAGCAGAATGGATGTGGGTGGGTGGGTGGGAGCGGGGTAGAAGGATGGGGATGAGGCAAGGGTGGAGAAAAGGATGAAGGGGATGAGGTGGATGCATGGGGAAGGGGATGAGGTGGATGCATGGGGAAGGGGACGAGGTGGATGCATGGGGAAGGGGATGAGGTGGATGCATGGGGAAGGGGATGAGGTGGATGCATGGGGAAGGGGATGAGGTGGATGCATGGGGAAGGAGATGAGGTGGATGCATGGGGAAGGAGATGAGGTGGATGCATGGGGAAGGGGATGAGGTGGATGCATGGGGAAGGAGATGAGGTGGATGCATGGGGAAGGGGATGAGGTGGATGCATGGGGAAGGGGATGAGGTGGATGCATGGGGAAGGAGATGAGGTGGATGCATGGGGAAGGGGATGAGGTGGATGCATGGGGAAGGGGACGAGGTGGATGCATGGGGAAGGGGATGAGGTGGATGCATGGGGAAAGGGATGAGGTGGATGCATGGGGAAGGAGATGAGGTGGATGCATGGGGAAGGGGATGAGGTGGATGCATGGGGAAGGAGATGAGGTGGATGCATGGGGAAGGGGATGAGGTGGATGCATGGGGAAGGGGATGAGGTGGATGCATGGGGAAGGAGATGAGGTGGATGCATGGGGAAGGGGATGAGGTGGATGCATGGGGAAGGGGACGAGGTGGATGCATGGGGAAGGGGATGAGGTGGATGCATGGGGAAGGGGATGAGGTGGATGCATGGGGAAGGAGATGAGGTGGATGCATGGGGAAGGGGATGAGGTGGATGCATGGGGAAGGGGATGAGGTGGATGCATGGGGAAGGAGATGAGGTGGATGCATGGGGAAGGGGATGAGGTGGATGCATGGGGAAGGGGATGAGGTGGATGCATGGGGAAGGGGACGAGGTGGATGCATGGGGAAGGGGATGAGGTGGATGCATGGGGAAGGGGATGAGGTGGATGCATGGGGAAGGAGATAAGGTGCACACACAGCACACACACCCGAACACCCGAACATTGTGATCCAGCACAGCTTGACACGGCCCCGCGTGAACCACCAGTGATACCGACTGAACCTCATTTGGAGGCACAGGCACCAAGCAGTGCCCGTCCCAGCACCTCTCTCCTTCTCCCACACAGACATACCCACCTGTGCACTGCATATCCTGCACGGCTTGAGCCGGCCCGTTTGGCCCCACCTGAGCGCCGGGGCCACAGACACAACACACTCCCCATCAAAGCTCCTCTCTCCTTCTCCCACACAAACATACCCACCTGTGCACTGGAGGTCCTGCACGGCTTGAACTAGTCCGTTGGGCCCCGCCAGAACCACAGCTGGGGCCACAGACACAACACACTCCCCATCAAAGCAAACGCTTTCTTCCGTCGCCGTCCCCATCCCGCACACCGCACACCGCTCTGTCGCCGTCGCTGCTGCTGCCCCCGCCACTGCGGCAGGGCGTTGCGTGGAGCCGAAGCGAGCGCAGGGAGCAGCAGCGGCAGGGACGAGGCAGTTGTGTTCGGCGGCGCAGTGGGAGAGGGTGGAGGGGAGGGTGGGGAGGGAACCGGAGAGGAAGTTGTAGGCTATGTCGAGGGCAAGGAGGGAGGAGGGGAGTGAGGGGAGTGAGCCGGTGAGGTAGTTGGAGAAGAGGGACCTGGTGGAGGGTGGTGGAGAGTGGTGGGGAACAATTGAGGAGGAAAGGTGAGGGGTGAGAAGGAGCCGAGGTCACTGCGGTGCTTCTTGAGGTAAGTTGGAGGGAAGGAGGCATTGAGAAGCGGGATAGCGTGCGTGACGTGATGTGACTCACAGGCCGGTTAATTTGGAGAGCTGGGAGATGGTGGTGGGGACTGAGCCATAGAACCAGTTGTACCCCAGAAGCCTGCATGCAGGGGACAGGGAGAAGGGCGAGCGAACATGAGGGGACCGGTTCGGGGTGAGTAAGATGGTGCACATGACAAATGCCTGCTTTATGAGATGAGGCGATTTTTGAGGCGCCTCATGAGGCGTACAGATGCTTGAGCAGAGTGAGCAAGACGAAGTTGGGTGGAACCCTTTAAGAATCCCCAAGGGTACAGATGTCAACTTTTAAGAGATGAGACGTACAGCTGATTGAGTTGAGCAAGAGAGAACACGTCGGTGAGAGAGACAGACAGTCTAAAAAACTTTCTACTAGCAACTTGTAAGAAATGGGACGCACAGCTGCTTGAGTTGAGTGAGCGAGTACACGTCGGACAGAAAGCCGTCCAGCTGCTGGTTGAAAAGATTGGAGCTCAGGTCACTGCTTGTTGGGGGGGAGCGGTGAGAGGGGGAGCAATATCAGAGAGGCGTCTAAAAGAGAGAAAGCCGTCCAGCTGCTGGTTGAAGAGGTTGGAGCTCAGGTCGCTGCTTGTGTGGTGGGGAAAGGAAGTGTGGTGGGGAAAGGAAGAGTGGAGGGAAGGAAGGTGGGATGTGAGAGGCGTCCCAAAGAGATGGCGTTGCTGGTTGAAGAGATTCGAGCGTCTCAATGAGAGAAAACAGTCCAGCTGCTCAGAGGATGGATGGATGGATGGATGGATGGATGGATGGATGGATGGATGGATGGATGGATGGATGGATGGATGGATGGATGGATGGATGGATGGATGGATGGATGGATGGATGGATGGATGGATGGATGGATGGATAGATGGATGGATGGGAGGTACAGACAATGCGATGCAGGAGTAGCGGCAAGGGGGGAACAGGGACATGGCAAAAAGAGAGTGGGTGTGATGTGATGGGTAAGTGGGGTGCCATAGGCGTGGGAATGTGTGAGGTGAGCATTGAAGGGGTGGCGAGAGGGAGCGGCAGGGCCGTACGTACAGGGAGGTGAGCGCTGAGAGCGATGAGACGGATAGAGGAGGGCCTTTTGAGACGTGTCAAGAAGAGACCGGGAGGCAGGACCGTACGTACAGGGAGGTGAGCGCCGAGAGCGATGAGACGGAGGAGTGAAGTGACCCAGAGGCGCCTTGCATGCGCAGAGCGCTGTTGAGGGGTGGAAAGAGGGAGGGGGGGGGGGGGGGAAGGGGGGTGTGGGGTTGGGTGGGGGGACACAGCAAAGCAGGGTGAAGGTGGAGGAGGGCAGCAAAACAGAGGTGCCTTGCATGCGCAGCAGAGTGCTGTTGGCAAGACGGGGGAAGGGGTAGGGGAGTTGAGGAGGGGGGCTCGGGAAGCGAACAACACAGAAAACGATTTCTAAGAAGGGATGGGAGATATGGAGGAGAGGAATGGAGAAGACCGGAGTGGTCTTTTAAAACATTCTAAAAGTCTTCTTCGGAGACTAAGGGGTTTTACAGTTCTACGAATTTCACAAGTTTTTTGCCTTTGCTGTTGATCCTTTTGCTAAAGCGTCCCCATCACGTCCGTCACTGCAGCCCGTCGACTATGAGTCACGAAGTGAGCTATTCTCAGCAATCTCTCCTCCAACGACTTGTACACATGCGCCCATCACATGCGTCCCCATCACGTACTGCAGCCCGTCGACTATGAGTCAGGAGGACCAAAGTGGCCTTTTAAGTCATTCTAAAAGTCTCTGCGTGTGCAGAGCTTCTGAGCGTGTTTGCTACTCACGTGCTTTTGAGAATTCTGCGTGTGCAGAGCTTCTGCGAGAATTCTCAAAAGTCACTCCAATATGTCTCTGCGTGTGCAGAGCTTCTGAGCATGTTTGCTACTCACGTGCTTGCTTGCTACAGCCCACTCACATGCTTGTGACTGCACCATTGCCGGAGCATCTGACCCCAGCCCAGTAGGGCGTCGCCTGGGAGGCTTTCGCCCCCGTACACTCCCCTGTGCCCACCCACGTGCTGTCCGTCACTCCCAGCGACGACTTGAGCGCCATCAGGACGGACACTGTATGGGAGGTGGGGCAGGAGGAGGTGGGATGTGACGAAAAGGTGTGAGATGAAATGAAAGGCTTGCTCTGAATTCTAAGCAAGTTCTGAGGCGCCTCTTTTGAGGGAGTGGTGCTCGCCCCCAGTCATGTCCGGCGAGCACCGCACCCTTTCATCCACAATCCTCCCCCCCCCCCCCCTCCTCTTCCTCCCCACACATGCCCATGGCTCCAGTGCAACCGGCTTTTGAGTCGACTCAAAAGTGGCTCCAGCGCAAACCCTGTCCCCCCCGCACCATCTCCCCGCCGCCCCTAAATCACACGGTCAGTCAGGCTCGCTCGCTCACTCACTCACCCTGCGCCGGGAGAATATAGGCAGCCTCGCAGAACTGCGGCAGCAGCGCGGCAGTGGCCTCATTCGGCGCCATTGTAACGAGGTGACTCTTGAGTCGACTCAAAAGTCACCCCATAAATCACAGTCACTAACTCACTCACCCTGCGCGGGGAGAATGTAGACAGCCTCGCAGAACTGCGGCAGCAGCGCAGCAGAGCCCCCATTTGGCGCAGTCAGCCCGGTCGGGTCCACCGTGCACCCCTCCAGAAGCCCCCCGCACATGCCCGTCGCCCCCGCCGCCCCGCCGCAAAACACACACTGGGCAGCGGGCCGTTGGGTGGAGAGGGGGCAGGCAGCAGGGGGGCTGCTGGTGAAGCAGTTGGTGTGGCAGACGGCGGGTGAGACGCCGGAGGGGGAACGGGCGATGAAGAAGTTTTCATCCACGTAAACGTTTACGAGCGAAGGGGGGAGTGGGGGGATCGTGCCCACGAGGTAGTTGGAGAATATGGTTCTGGAGGGGGGAAGAGGGAAAGGGGGGAGAAAGGGGGGGAGGAGAGGAGGGAGAGGGGAGTGGTGGGAGGATGGGCAGAGAAAGGGGGAGAGTAGTGGGGAGATTGGTTTTTTTTAGACGTCTCTCAAAAGTGGATTGAGTCTGGCGCAGATGAATTGCAGTGAAGAGGTGGGGGAGGGGAAATGGGGGGAACGTAGGGAAACGGGGAGGAAGAGGAGAAAAAAAGGGGAGAGGGAAGCGGGGTGAAGGAAGGAGGAGGGGGAGGAACGGTGGGAGAAATGGGAGAGTGGAAGCAAGGACGAGGGAGAGGAAGGAGAAGAGAAGAAGAGAAGAAGGGGTGCAGAGGGGTGGAAGGGATTAAGGGAGCAAGGGCGGGGGTGAGAGGGAGGGGGAGAAGGGGACCCATGCGATGGCAGGTGAACGCACACACAGGGGGGATGGTACAGGTACATTGCGCGTTTGAGAGCGTGCTTTCGAGTTACCAAATCTTGCTGCAGTTCGAGTCCTTCTCATTCTCTGCAAGAGGCGGCGGCGACCTTTGTACATCAGGCGTGTGGGGGTGTGGCTTCGACACGTGTCGAGGCACGTACAGTACAGGTGGGTATGCATGAAGGCGCGCACAGAGAGCCGCATGAAGGCACGTTCAGCATGCCCCCTTACAACGTCTCAAGCACGTACCGGTGTGTTGGGCGTGTGAGACGATCTTTGAGTGGACTAAAGAAGCACCTACAGGAATGTTAGGCGTGTGAGGTTGATGACGGATGTTGGGACAGTGCCGTAGAACCAGTTGGCACAAATCCGCCTGCGAGGCGCAGAGAGGGGCGCAGAGAGGAGTTTATTTTCTAGGCGCCTCACAACTGGATGTTGGGACAGTGCCGTAGAACCAATTGGCACAAATCCGCCTGCAAATCCAGTCGGGAACGACCCTCCAGGGTGGTTACGATGGTGCTGTGGAACCGGATGGTGGTATGCACTCGGGTGCACAGAGAGGTTGGACGACACGCCACTCGCACAGCGAGGTTGGACACGCCACTCGCACAGAGAGGCATCCCCACAAAGGGGAGGGAAAGGGGGAGTGAGAGCACGGGAGGGGGATCCCCACACGCCACACGCCACACGCCACACACCACACACCACACACCACACGCCACATGCACGGAGAGGGAAGGGGGGAGTGAGAGCACGGGAGCTGGAGAGCGAGAGCACGGGGAAAGCTTGTGCTGCTGGCGAGAGAAAGGTTGTGCTGGCCTGGCCATTATGCTGGCGAAAACAGGACTCACAAATCTATGAGTTGAGGCATTTGCATCAGTGTGGCGGTCCAAGGCGTGAAGCTGCCGTGCAGCAGGTTGTAGCAGAGATTGCTGTGGGGAGGGGGGGAGAGGGAAGGGTGGGAGAGGCGGAGGGAGTTTGAGATGCGTCAGAAGCTGCCGTGCCGTGCAGCAGGTTGTAGCAGAGATGCTGAACGCGGGGGGGGGGAGGGCGGAGGGGCGCGCAGCAGGTTGTAGCAGAGATTGCTGTGTTTCTGGGAAATGCCAAGCAAGTGCGTGAAAGGCAGGGGTTGTGCCAGCCACCGATGGCTTTGCGTGAAGATGGTTGGGGGAAGAGCATTGGGAGGTACAAGGAAATGAAAAGTGCGCGCGGATTGGGGTGTGTGTGTGTGTGTTTTTGTGTGTGTGTGTGTGTGTGTGTGTGTGTGTGTGTGTGTGTGTGGGTGGGTGGGTGGGTGGGGGGAAGAAGGGAAAGGAGGAGAGTGAGGTAGGAAGAGAATGGAAATCTGAAGCTAATGGAGGGGCGAGGGTAAGGGAGAGTAGAATGGTCGGCTCACATGAAGGCAAGGGGTGAGCGGTGAGCGGTCAGCGGTGAGCAGTGAGCGGTGAGCGGTGAGCAGTGAGCAGTGAGCAGTGAGCAGTGAGCAATAATGAGCAGTGTTGAGCGATGAGCAGTAAGCAGTGAGAGAAGCTTCACATGAAGGCTCTTGTCATCCGGTTTTCGAGTCCAGGAGTTAAGAGGAGAGAAAGGGGGGGAGGCGGGAAATGGGGGAAGGCGGGAAAAGGGGGAAGGTGGGATGGAGGGGAGGAAAGGAAGGGGCGGCTCACAGGAAGGTGAGAGCGGAGAGCTTGCTGATGTCAGTTGGCATGCTTCCCTTGAGCGACTGCATGTGAAAGTTCCTGGAAGGAGGGGGGGGGGGGAGACGGGGGGAGGTGTGTACTTGAGTCGAATCTATTTCAAATGTAATCAGAAAATAGTGTATTTGTCAATGAAAATGATATTTTTGCGAGTGTTCAGATTGAGGGAAGCCCTAGTGGAGCTTATTGATTATTATGGTTAACCCTTGAAATTGCCGAGGTGGGAAGGAGGCAGCAACAGCAGCATCAACATCTGAGACGCGCGATCGTGATTGATTGATTGAGTTAGCATCAACTGCTGCGATTTCAACCCCCCGTTAGACTCACATCCAAACGACGTTTCCGGACCCATCGCACGACACGGCACCAAACTCATTGGCCTGCTGCACGAACCCGAGCGGCCCGCAGCTAGACGACGCCTGCCAGGACGTTAGCGTCACGCCCAGAGCCGGCTTTATTGCGAGCAGCGCGTCTTCTGTAGAGAGAAACGGGAACAGTGCGTAACGCGTACAGTGGTGGGGGCGTGAGCGTCGGCTAAGGAGAGGGAACTGATGAGAGCGTGAGGGTACGGGAATGCTGGGTGATGGGAATACATGACATGTTAGGAGGCCAGGAACTTCCTTGGGGACTCAAAGCATCATGTAAGTGGGAAAACCAAGGGAGTCCGGCGATACGAAAATATCATCTCGAGAGTCGATTCGAGACGAAGGACGATGGCACGAGACGACCGTCGTGATATTTGAGAATTCTCAAAATTCGCTCACGAGGGAGAAGTTCGGCACACGAAACTTCCGTAACCGGTTTGGCTCTTCGGTTGGTTAAGAAACGCATCCGACGGCGGGAGAGAGGGCGGCACGCAAGACGACATGCAGCAGCGTACAAGCTAATAGGGACGGTTTGGAATTAATATAACTATTCGACTGTTGAAACGTTTCACAAGAAGTTACTAACGCGAATGCTCCAAACTGATGTAACTATGAAGCAGTGATTTTCCTCATGGGTGGACGTCTCGAATTCCAACGATGCCCGGCGCATGAAAGCGGCATCATATCGAATGAGGATATTACTATTCTCGACACACACAAAAAATCAGACGATATTGCAAACGAAAATATACAAATCCAGCGGGGGGAAGACCGGCGAAAACCGTTCGGCAACAGTCAATCCAGTTCGACTCACACATGGAACGCGTACTCAAGTTTAAAAGGCGCCGAAGATGACTCAACGGTCACTCTGAGCCTACGTTCGGCTTACACATGGAATGCGAGCTCACTATCGTTGGTCGTCATAGTAACTGAAGCCACGGGGCGCGGTATACACGCCGTGATGAGAAGGAACGCGGAAGAGATCGCGACTACGGATGACGATGACGTGGACACGCCGGCCATGGCAAATGCGGTGCGTTCTCGCATGTCGGCGTGTCGGAGGCGACTCCGCTGCGTTAGAGGTTGCAGCTGCGTGTCTGCCTGCGTCTACGTTTACGTCTACGTTAACGTCTACGTCTGCGTCTGCGTCGCGCGGCTACGGCGCGTCTGGGTCGGTATGAACTGTCGTCCTACGCCGATTTCTGGAAGAGCGTCATCACCAGCCGTTGGATACACCGATCGGAGTAACCCTCCGACATGCTGTCTATCGCCGTTGCGCCCGGTATTTACCACCGCAACGTCCCGTATCTATCGCCGTCGCGCCCGGTATTTACCACCGTCAGGTCCCGTATATCGCCGTCGCGTCCGGTATCTATCGTCGTCGCGTCCGGTATCTATCGCCAGCACGTTGCCTGGGCTTCCATTTACGAATCACTAGAAGAGAAGACCTCCAGTGCCACGGCAGCGTGTCTGCTTGTTGTTGAACACATTCACAACGCATCCTCCGGGACAGTCGACACGGAAGAGAGACACTAGACCAGACTGCGGTCCTGTGAGATGCGTCTCATCACTCGAGCTTTGTCCGAGTTCGGTACTCTACACGTAGGCCAACACTCCCAATACGCATGATGCCCTTGCCAAAAGCGTACTGTAACAAGTCTCCCGAGACGCACTCTTACAGTGTGCATTCGTCTGGACCATTTCCCGCTAAAAGACAATATCAACACATAGTCTACTGGGCAACTAGTACATGTTAAAAAAAACGTTTCGGTCATTTTCCAGTTTAGTGAGTGTAGGTTTCCAGACTTCTTGTACAATCACGAGAAAAATAGTCGCAACGAAACGGCCGATTCCCCGTGATCACAACCCACGAAACTTTACGACATCGACACATTGATTTTAGGAGTGCTTTCAGGAAGAAAAAATGAAGGGAAACAGGTGTAAAACAAAGGAAACCCTCCCTTCTCTTCCTATACCCATTATGCTCAATCGCTGGAATTATCATAACGGAATGTTTTTGTAGTTGATGCATAAACAACCGCAGAAAGCAGTAATTAAAATGTGATGGAAGATCATACTAAACCTCACCACTTGCACGCTATCAAATCTAGGACACGGACAAGGATCACAAAAGGTACCGTAAGGGTGTGAAAACGAATCCTGCCATTTGACTGGGCGATTGGTCGTCGTGACACGCCCATAGTAGTGCTTTGTTGTTGAAAGATTCACGAGGGTTTCAACTTCCAGCAGGATCAATACGATCAATTGCAAGCAAGCAGGTTCTGTTGGGATTGCCCCTAGCAAGTTTATGGTGAATGAATCGGCAAATAACCAGGACAGCTCAAAGAAACCATATGAAGTTCGCACAAACTTGAACACGAGAAAGCCACATAATTTACACACAAGTCAAGGCAAGCACAGGTGAGCTAGCAGTGTTAGGCGTTTCCTGTGCTAGAGGGGCACTTGCATTGGGTGCACACACTTTCGTACCCCCACATAATGTCCCCGACCCGCTAACCAGCCCACAAAACGTACACCCCGTACTCCTTTGTGTCGTGCCTGATGAACTGCAGGAGGATGTATCTGAGAGGCAATTCTTCGTGGCATCGCAAAAGTTGCAGGGTAGCGATGGCACAGAGCCAGAGAGGAAGTTTTGGGTGAGTGCGAGCTTGGCGAGAGTGGTTGAGGTGGGTGCAGGAATGGAGCCCGTGAGGTAGTTACAGCCAAGGGCTCTGTGTGGGGGAGCGACAGAGACGAGGAGGGGGGAGCGTGGGGGGGGAGGTGGAAGGGAAAGAACAGGAGAAGAGAAAGGGAAACGAGGAGTGTTGGGTGAGTGCGAGATAGGAGGGAGTGGTTGGGCAGTTTGATAATGGTTTCTGTGACGTGGTTTGTCCCAGAGCTCTGCGGGGAGAGAAGAGAGGAAGGAGAGCGGAAAGAGAGAAGTGGAAGAGAAGGTAAAGGGAGAGGGACAGGGGAAGTTTTGGGTGGGTGCGAGCTTGGCGGGAGTGGTTGAGGCAGGTTTGGGGTTTGGGTTTGGGCAGAGGGCTTTGTGCGAAGAGAGAGGGTGTGTGGAGGGGAGGGAGAAGGGAAACGAAGGGAAGAGAGAAGGGAAACGAAAACAGTGAGGTAATGGGTGGGAAAGGGAGTGGGGACGAAAGAGAGAAAGAACCATGAAAAGGCACAGGGGGGTTTACAGGCTGGCGAGGAGGGGAAAAGGAAGCAAGCAGGTAGGTGTGGCGGAGTTAAAGTGAACCACGCAAAGAGCCACACACAGAGAGAGGGACTGCTTGTGAGGTTGGGGAGATTGAGTAGGAGGGCAGGCAGGCAATTGCGTGGGTGGGAGCTGTAGAGAAGCACAGGAAAGATGCACAGAGGGAGAGGGGCCTACAGGCTGGTGAGGCTGGGGAGGTTGAGCAGGTAGGCAGGCAGTGAACCGTAGAACCAGTTGTATTGCAGGTCGCTGCAGGGTGGGGTGGCAGGGTGGGGTGGCAGGGTGAAAGGCAAACAATCAATATGCGCCTGAAGAAAAGAGCGACCCGCACAGAAAGTGAGTGACTGAACAGCAGCACTGCAGCATGAGTGTGCAGCTCAGACGCATAAGAGAACTCACAGCACGACAAGGGTGCAGCACAGGACAGGCACCGAGAAACACTCACAGCACGACAAGGGTGCAGCACAGGACAGGCACCGAGAAACACTCACAGCACGACAAGGGTGCAGCACAGGACAGGCACCGAGAAACACTCACAGCACGACAAGGTTGGAGAGAGAAGAGAAGTAGGAGACAAAGGAGTGAAGCGGCGTCCAGAAAAGGTTGCTGTCGAAGGTTCTGATAAGATGGGCGGAGTGGGTGGGGAGGGCGAGGGGAGGAGGAAGAAGGGAGAGGTGGGGATTGGAGTGGGATAATTACGGCAGAGGAAGAATTTCTTGGATGCTTATGAGAATTCTCTGAAGCAAGGTAGAATGGGCCCATTGGGGGGACGCTGTCAAAAGAATCAGAGAGGGAGACGAGAGTGCATGGCATGGGAAGGCATGGGATGGTATGGCATGGGATGGGATGGGATGGCATGGGATGGGATGGGATGGCATGGCATGGGATGGGATGGCATGGCATGGGATGGGATGGGATGGCATGGGATGGGATGGCATGGGAGGGTATGGCAGCAGCATGTGAAATGCATGCATGCCATGATGTGAGGGAAACGTACAGGCGAGTGAGCGATGTGAGAGTGGTGACATCCGAGGCCATGGACCCCTTGAGCTTCTGACTCGTTAGATCACTGTTCGGGGGGGGGGGGAGAGGGCCACGCAAGGAAAGGCAAGGCAAGGCAGCAGAGGGTGAGTGATGTGAGAGTGGTGACATCCGAGGCCATGGACCCCTTGAGGTTCTGACTCGTTAGATCACTGTTCGGGGGGGGGGGAGGGGAGAGGGCTACGCAAGGAAAGGCAAGGCAAGGCAGCAGAGGGTGAGCGATGTGAGAGTGGTGACATCCGAGGCCATGGACCCCTTGAGCTTCTGACTCTTTAAATCACTGGGAAGGGCGAGTGACATGAGGCATGGGCATGGGGCATGGGGCATGGGTATTGGGCATGGTGATGCAGGCAGCACAGACGATGGGCCATGTGCCCCTGGAGCTTCTGGTTTGCCAAGGCACTGTTTGGGGGGAAGGGGCGAGAGGCATGGGGTATGGGGCATGGGGCACGGGAGTATGGGAATTGGGGCATGGAGTATCAGCAACACATCTGCAGGGGTACTCCTGAGTCAACCAAGTCAAATGAGACAACCGAGTCAAGTGCGACAACTGAGTCAACAAAGTCAACTGAGTCAACCAAGGCAACTGAGTCAACCATGTCAACTGAGTCAATCGAGACAACTGAGAAAACCAAGTCAAGCAAGTCGGCCGACATAGTCAAGCGAGTGAACTCACATGGAGAGGACGTTCCCGAGGGAGTCGCAGGCCACTCCGGGCCAGTCAGAGCCCGAGGTGTATCCCTCCACTGTGCACGCCCCACTGCCCCCCCATGCCGTGGCCGTCACTCCCAACGCGCTCTTGAGCGCAAGAAGAGCGTTTACTGGGGGGAGAAGTGGAAGGGGTAGCATAGAGATCAGGAGGGTGGGAACGCATGGGAGCGGGGGGATTACAGGAGGAAATGCAAGGGAGGGATTTCAGGGAATGGTGTAAGCAAATAAATGGGAGGGGGGGAGTGGAGAGCAGAGCAAGGCAGGCGTTTCATCTCACGGGTTTGATCCATCACGTGCTATAAATAGCGTTTCATCTTGCAAGCTATTGATGTCTAATGCGTTTCATCTCACACTCACACATCTCAACTCTCGGCTATCCAATCACTCTCACCTGTGGCATCTGTCATGGAGGTTTGTGTGTTGCCTGCTTGCGGCAGAATGAAGGACGGGGATGGGAGGGACGTGGACAAACGGGGGGGTGAGGGAATGAAAGGATGGAGATGGGAAGACCAGGAAGTATGACATGGCAAACAACCGATATTGAAAAAAATGCTAGTAAAGCTCAGCTGCTAACCACTAAGTAAAAAGGGCTTGTTCCACAGCAGATGAACGCGCCCCTAATTCCAAATGCCATCTCAGCGAGTCACCCATTTCAGGACCTTAGGCCGATCTTAGTGCTCCTCCAACAACCCCCCACACTAAACTAACCTTTAGGACCACAAACACCTTCGACGGTAGGAATCAAAACCAAGGGCTTTGCTATGATACCATGTTGTCAAAGCTCAATTACTAACCATTGATTCTAAAGGGCTTGTTCCATACCAGGGGAGCTCGGCCATATTCCTCCCCGACCATCTTTACCCGTAACCCTTTTGCAGGACCATAGGCCGACCCCAGTGTTCCTCCAACACAGACAGAGCACGCACGACATGCGCACCTGTGCACTGCATATCCAGCACGGCTTGAGCCGGCCCATTGGTCCCTGCCTGAGCCACCACTGGGGCCACAGACACAACGCAGTCCCCATCATAGCATAAGCTTGCTTCTGCCGCCGTGCCCATCCCGCACACGGCGCACCGCTCTGTTGCTGATGCTGCCGCTGCTCCCGCCACTGCGTCAGGGCGTTGGGTGGAGCCGAAGCGAGCGCAGGGGGCAGCGGCGGCGGGGATAAGGCAGTTGTGTTCGGCCGCGCAGTGGGAGAGGGTGGAGGGGAGGGTGGGGAGCGAGCCGGAGAGGAAGTTGTAGGCTATGTCGAGCGCAAGAAGTGAGGCGGGAAGTGAGGGGAGCGAGCCGGTGAGGTAGTTTGAGAAGAAGGACCTGGTGGGGGGTGGCAGGGAGTAGTGGAGAGTGGTACAGAACGGTAAAGGAAAGGGAAGGGTTGAGAAGGAGCAAAGAACACTGCGTCGGTCCTTTTGGTAGAAAATGTGATGGAAAGGGGAGGCTATGAGAAGAGGGATAGCACGCGTGACATGACATGACATGACTTGACTTGAGCTGGCACTGAAGTGGGATGGTGTGCATGAGGTGACCCATATTCTTGAGTTGAGTTGACTCAAGAAGCGAGATAGGATAGCGTGCGTGGCGTGACGTGACGTGACTCACAGGCCGGTCAGTTTGGTGAGCTCAGAGATGGTGGTGGGGATTGAGCCATAGAACCAGTTGTACCCCAGAAGCCTATGGGCAGGGTCAGGGTGAAGGGCGAAGGAACAGGGAAGGAGCGTTAAAGACTCTTATAAGGAGCAGGGAGGATTAGGGCGAATTGAGTGGGTGCAACACCAATGATCACTGTATGGATACGCGAAACAAGGAGAAGCAAGCCGTTGCACAAAACAAGGAGAATCGAGGAGTTGCACAAAACAAGGAGAATCGAGGAGTTGCGTAAAACAAGGAGAATCGAGGAGTTGCGTAAAACAAGGAGCTGCATAAAAGATTGAAATCAGACCTCAAACTTTTAAACAGATTTCAAACATGAGGCGTACAGCTGCTGGAGCGAAGTGAGCGAGACCAAGACAGAGAGAAAGCCGTCCAGCTGCTGGTTGAAGAGGTTGGAGCTCAGGTCCCTGTGTGGATGGCAAAAACAAGGGAGAGAGCAGTAAGCTCATGGGATGGACGCTCCTCAAGGCGTCTTCACGAGAGAAAGCCGTCCAGCTGCTGGTTGAAGAGGTTGGAGCTCAGGTCCCTGTGTGGATGGCAAAAACAAGGGAGAGAGCAGTAAGCTCATGGGATAGACGCTCCTCAAGGCGTCTTCACAAGAGAAAGCCGTCCAGCTGCTGGTTGAAGAGGTTGGAGCTCAGGTCCCTGTGTGGATGGCAAAAACAAGGGAGAGAGCAGTAAGCTCATGGGATAGACGCTCCTCAAGGCGTCTTCACGAGAGAAAGCCGTCCAGCTGCTGGTTGAAGAGGTTGGAGCTCAGGTCCCTGTGTGGATGGCAAAAACAAGGGAGAGAGCAGTAAGCTCATGGGATGGACGCTCCTCAAGGCGTCTTCACGAGAGAAAGCCGTCCAGCTGCTGGTTGAAGAGGTTGGAGCTCAGGTCCCTGTGTGGATGGCAAAAACAAGGGAGAGAGCAGTAAGCTCATGGGATAGACGCTCCTCAAGGCGTCTTCACGAGAGAAAGCCGTCCAGCTGCTGGTTGAAGAGGTTGGAGCTCAGGTCCCTGGGTGGATGGCAAAAACAAGGGAGAGAGCAGTAAGCTCATGGGATAGACGCTCCTCAAGGCGTCTTCACGAGAGAAAGCCGTCCAGCTGCTGGTTGAAGAGGTTGGAGCTCAGGTCCCTGTGTGGGTGGCAAAAACAAGGGAGAGAGCAGTAAGCTCATGGGATAGACGCTCCTCAAGGCGTCTTCACGAGAGAAAGCCGTCCAGCTGCTGGTTGAAGAGGTTGGAGCTCAGGTCCCTGTGTGGATGGCAAAAACAAGGGAGAGAGCAGTAAGCTCATGGGATAGACGCTCCTCAAGGCGTCTTCACGAGAGAAAGCCGTCCAGCTGCTGGTTGAAGAGGTTGGAGCTCAGGTCCCTGTGTGGATGGCAAAAACAAGGGAGAGAGCAGTAAGCTCATGGGATAGACGCTCCTCAAGGCGTCTTCACGAGAGAAAGCCGTCCAGCTGCTGGTTGAAGAGGTTGGAGCTCAGGTCCCTGTGTGGGTGGCAAAAACAAGGGAGAGAGCAGTAAGCTCATGGGATAGACGCTCCTCAAGGCGTCTTCACGAGAGAAAGCCGTCCAGCTGCTGGTTGAAGAGGTTGGAGCTCAGGTCCCTGTGTGGATGGCAAAAACAAGGGAGAGAGCAGTAAGCTCATGGGATAGACGCTCCTCAAGGCGTCTTCACGAGAGAAAGCCGTCCAGCTGCTGGTTGAAGAGGTTGGAGCTCAGGTCCCTGTGTGGATGGCAAAAACAAGGGAGAGAGCAGTAAGCTCATGGGATAGACGCTCCTCAAGGCGTCTTCACGAGACAAAGCCGTCCAGCTGCTGGTTGAAGAGGTTGGAGCTCAGGTCCCTGTGTGGATGGCAAAAACAAGGGAGAGAGCAGTAAGCTCATGGGATAGACGCTCCTCAAGGCGTCTTCACGAGAGAAAGCCGTCCAGCTGCTGGTTGAAGAGGTTGGAGCTCAGGTCCCTGGGTGGATGGCAAAAACAAGGGAGAGAGCAGTAAGCTCATGGGATAGACGCTCCTCAAGGCGTCTTCACGAGAGAAAGCCGTCCAGCTGCTGGTTGAAGAGGTTGGAGCTCAGGTCCCTGGGTGGATGGCAAAAACAAGGGAGAGAGCAGTAAGCTCATGGGATAAACGCTCCTCAAGGCGTCTTCACGAGAGAAAGCCGTCCAGCTGCTGGTTGAAGAGGTTGGAGCTCAGGTCCCTGTGTGGGTGGCAAAAACAAGGGAGAGAGCAGTAAGCTCATGGGATAGACGCTCCTCAAGGCGTCTTCACGAGAGAAAGCCGTCCAGCTGCTGGTTGAAGAGGTTGGAGCTCAGGTCCCTGTGTGGATGGCAAAAACAAGGGAGAGAGCAGTAAGCCCATGGGATAGACGCTCCTCAAGGCGTCTTCACGAGAGAAAGCCGTCCAGCTGCTGGTTGAAGAGGTTGGAGCTCAGGTCCCTGGGTGGATGGCAAAAACAAGGGAGAGAGCAGTAAGCTCATGGGATAGACGCTCCTCAAGGCGTCTTCACGAGAGAAAGCCGTCCAGCTGCTGGTTGAAGAGGTTGGAGCTCAGGTCCCTGGGTGGATGGCAAAAACAAGGGAGAGAGCAGTAAGCTCATGGGATAGACGCTCCTCAAGGCGTCTTCACGAGAGAAAGCCGTCCAGCTGCTGGTTGAAGAGGTTGGAGCTCAGGTCCCTGTGTGGGTGGCAAAAACAAGGGAGAGAGCAGTAAGCTCATGGGATAGACGCTCCTCAAGGCGTCTTCACGAGAGAAAGCCGTCCAGCTGCTGGTTGAAGAGGTTGGAGCTCAGGTCCCTGCTCAGGTCGCCGCGTGAGGGGGGTGATGTGATGGGGGTGATGCGATGGGGGTGATGCGATGGGGGTGATGCGATGGGGGTGATGCGATGGGGGTGATGCGATGGGGGTGATGCGATGGGGGTGATGCGATGGGGTTGATGCGATGGGGGTGATGGGGGTGACGGGGGTGATGGGGGTGATGGGGGTGATGGGTGATGGGGGTGATGGGTGATGGGGGTGATGGGTGATGGGGGTGATGGCTGATGGGGGTGATGGGTGATGGGGGTGATGTGATGGGGGTGATGGGGGCGAAGGGGGTGATGTGATGTGATAGGGGTGATGAGGGTGATGGGGGTGATGGGGGTCATGGGGGTGATGTGGGTGATGGGGGTGATGTGATGGGGGTGATGGGGGTGATGCGATGGGGGTGATGGGGGTGATGTGGGTGATGGGGGTGATGGGGGTGAGTGATGTGATGGGGGTGATGTAAGTGATGGGGGTGATGAGGGTGATGGGGGTGATGGGGGTGATGAGGGTGATGGGGGTGATGGGGGTGATGGGTGATGGGGGGTGATGTGATGGGGGTGATGCGATGGGGGTGATGGGGGTGATGTGATGTAATGGGGGTGATGGCGATGATGGGGGTGATGGGGAAAATGGGGGTGATATGATGTGATGAGGGTGATGGGGGTGATGGGGGTGAAGGGGGTGATGTGATGTGATGGGGGTGACGGGGGTGATGTGATGTGATGGGGGTGATGGGGGTGATGGGTGATGGGGTTGATGTGACGGGGGTGATAGGGGTGATGCGATGGGGGTGATGGGGGTGAAGGGGGTGATGTGATGTGATAGGGGTGATGAGGGTGATGGGGGTCATGGGGGTGATGTGATGTGATGGGGGTGATGGGGGTGATGGGGGTGATGGGGATGACGGGGGTGACGGGGGTGATGGGGGTGATGGGGGTGATGGGTGATGGGGTTGATGTGACGGGGGTGATAGGGGTGATGCGATGGGGGTGATGGGGGTGAAGGGGGTGATTTGATGTGATAGGGGTGATGAGGGTGATGGGGGTCATGGGGGTGATGTGATGTGATGGGGGTGATGGGGGTGATGGGGATGACGGGGGTGACGGGGGTGATGGGGGTGGGGGGGATTGATATCAGAGGCGTCTCATCGAGAGAAAGGCCTTTAGCTGCTGGTTGAAGTGATTGGAGCTCAGGTCGCTGTGTGTTGGGGGGGCGATGGAAGGGAAGGGAAGTAAGTACTTGTGTCCTGTGGTGCCTCGGGAGAGACAGCTGAGACTTGTTGAAGAGGTGTGGTGGAGGGGAGGATGGATGGATGGATGGATGGATGGATGGATGGATGGATGGATGGATGGATGGATGGATGGATGGATGGATGGATGGATGGATGGATGGATGGATGGATGGATGGATGGATGGATGGATGGATGGATGGATGGATGGAAGGACGGACGGACGGACGGACGGACGGATGGACGGACGGACGGACGGACGGACAGATGGATGGATGGATGGATGGATGGATGGATGGATGGATGGATGGATGGACGGACGGACGGACGGACGGACGGATGGATGGATGGATGGATGGATGGATGGATGGATGGATGGATGGATGGAAGTTAGAAAGCGATGCAAGGAACCGTGGCACTGGAGGAGTGGGAAGGGATAATAATTAATCTGAAAAAGGGCTGGGAAGTGGGAAGCGGAAGGTGGGCACTGGTGAGGTGACGTGGGGAAGTGGGGGGGAGGGAACATGGTGAGAGGGAGTGACAAGGCCATACAGGGAAGTGAGGGTTGGGAGTACAGTGATGAAGGAGGGTAGGTTTGAGGTAGAGTAGCAAGGATTTTAAGACGTCTCAACAGTCCTCAAAACTAGAGAGGCAAGGCCGTACAGGGAAGCGAGGGTTGCGATTGCGAGTGAGGGTTGGGAGTGCAGCGATTGGATGAGGGTTACTATTGAGGCACCTCAAAACTGGAGGGTACTTTCAAGGCGCCTCATAACCAGAGTGACAAGGCCATACAGGGAGGTGAGGGTTGGGAGTGCAGCGATGGATGAGGGGAGCGATCCAGAGAGGCCTTGTGTTCGCAGAGTGCTGTTGAGGGGGAAATGGGGGGGGAAGAGTGGGCGGGAAAGGGGAGGGACGCAGGGGAGGGGACAGAACAAAGCAAAGGGAGAATAAGAGAAGGGAGGGGAGAGATGGAGGAGTGGAGTGCAGTGATGAGTGAAGATGAAGCAGAGGACATGTGGAGGACAACGGGAAAAGGAAAGCAGAGGAACAGATGCTACAGCCCACTCACATGCCTGCTACAGCCCACTACAGCCCACCACAGCCCACCACAGCCCACCGCAGCCCACCGCAGCCCACCACAGCCCACCGCAGCCCACCCCAGCCAACCACCGCCCACCACAGCCCATGACAGCCCACTCACATGCTTGTGACAGCCCCAGTGTCGGAGCATTTGACGCCAGCCCAGTAAGGGGAAGCCTGGGAGGATTCCTCCCCCGTACACTCCCCTGTGCCCGCCCATGTGGTGTCTGTCACTCCCAGAGATGACTTGAGCGCCAGCAGGACGGACACTGCATGGGAGGTGGGGTTAGGAGGAAGGTGAGGAACCAAATGAACTTCGGACTATGCACTCCCCCCCTGCACTCTCCCAGTCACATCAAGTCTGCACCCTTCCAGACCCCCCCCCCCCCCCCCCCCCCCCCTCCCCCCGCACATGCCCATACCATGAATGGCGGCCACCGTCATTCCCCCCGTTCCCCAAATCACACAGTCAGTCGGACTCACCGTGAGCTGGGAGAATCGTGACAGCCTCGCAGAACCGTGGCAGCAGCACAGCGCTCCCCCCGTTGGGACTGCTCAGCCCAGTCGTATCCGGGGTGCAACCCTCCAAATATCCCCGGCACATGCCCGTCGCCCAGGATATTCCCCCGCAGAACACACACTTGGTAGAGGCCCGCTGGGTGGAAAGAGGGCAGGCAGTAGGGGGGCTGGTGAAGCAGTTGGCGTTGCACACGGTGGTTGGGACACCGGAAGGGAAGGAGCCGGTGAGGAGATTTCGCTCCACGCTGAAGTATTGGAGAGAGGGCGGGGGTGTTGGGACCGTGCCCACGAGGTAGTTGGAGAATAGACCTCTGCGGTGGGCGGGGGGAAGAGGAGGGGAGGAGGTAGGAGCATTGGAGAGAGGAGGGCGGTGTTGGGACCGTGCCTACAAGGTAGTTGGAATACCCCTGCGGTGGGAGGGGGGAGGGGGGAGGAGGAAAGGACGAGGAGGGGATTTGTTAGTCGACTAAAACCAGATCAGGGGGGGTGTTTGGACCGTGCTCACAAGGTAGTTAGTTGGAGCAGAGACCTCTGATATGGCAGGGACACATGCAGGCAGAGGGGATGGCTTGACGGTGAATGCACTCACACACACCCGTACACTCACACACACCCGTACACTCACACACACCCGTACACTCACACACACCCGTACACTCACACACACCCGTACACTCACACACACCCGTACACTCACACACACCCGTACACTCACACACACCCGTACACTCACACACACCCGTACACTCACACACACCCGTACACTCACACACACCCGTACACTCACACACACCCGTACACTCACACACACCCGTACACTCACACACACCCGTACACACACACGCACCCGTACACGCCCCCGCAGGACGCAGAGAGTACCATGGAGATGGTACAGTGTTATGCACGCAAAGAACGTACGTACAGGTAGGTCAGGCGCGTGAGAGCGTGCTATGACGCCTCTGAAGCACGTACAGGTAGGTTAGGCGTGTGAGAGTGATGATAGACGTTGGGATGGTGCCATAGAACCAGTTGGCACAGAATCGCCTGCGGGGCGCACAGAGAAGCACAGAGAGGGGTTTATAATCGAGGCGCCTAACAAACGGATGTTGGGATGGTGCCATAGAACCAGTTGGCACAGAATCGCCTGCAGAGAGGGGTGTAGAGAGGGTCGCACAGAGTGGCACACAGACAGAGGAGCCATGGTAGTCAAAAGTCACGTGGCCATGGTGGTTGTAACCAGCCCAAGGCTTACACTAATCTAGAGAGCGAGAATACACGAGAAAAGAAAGCAAGGCTCACATTTCTTTGAGTTGCGGCATTTGCATGAGAGTGGCTGTCCAAGGCGCGAAGCTGGCGTGCAGCAGGTTGTAGCAGAGATTGCTGTGTGGAAGAGACGGGCGGGAAAGGGGAGGTTGAGGAAAAGGCAAGTGTCAATCTGACATGCAGCAGGTTGTGGCCGGGTTTTGAATCGACTTAAAACAAGAGGCGGGAGCTAAGATGGGGGAAGGGAGGGAGGTGGGAACGGACGGGGGGTGGCGGGAGGGGGAGAGACGGGAAAAGGGGGGAGGCGGGGCGGAGAAAATGGGGAAGGAAGAGGCGGCTCACAGGAAAGTGAGAGCGGAGAGCTTGCTGATGTCTGTCGGCATGCTTCCCTTCAGCGACTGCATGTAGAAGTTCCTGGAAGGAGGGGGGGGGAGGGCAAGGGTTGAGGGCAGAACGAGCAGGAAGGGGGAACGGGGCGATGGTTAGTGGTGTTCACTTCAAGCAGATTTTATTCATAATGTAATGAGAACATAGCGTACATGTGACTTAAAAGTTCTGTGAGGGGGGTCGGATCAGATAGAGGGAAGCCTTAGTGGAGCGTTTGGTTTTGGTTAATTCTTGAGATTGCTGAAGTGGGGGGGAGCAACAAAAGAAGCATCAGAATCCGACACATGGGATCACAACAAGATTATAATTTGAATAAGAATCTTCAGTGATACACCAACGACGAGTATGAGCAGCGATATTGTGTTGGCTTGACTTATGCGGCTGGGACGCGGAAAAGGTGCTAGGGAATTTTACTGTAATCGTAATTAATTCGGCAAGCATGGTCTACTGCGAATCCACCCCCCCCCCCATACTCACAGGTAAGCGACGTTTCCGGATGCATCGCACTGCACTGCATCCCACTCATTGCCGTTCTTGGTCTGTTCAATCGGCGTGCACTGAGACGACGATGACTGCCAAGACGTTAGCGTCACACCCAGAACCGGCTTTATTGCGAGCAGCGCGTTCACTGCAGCGGGACAGGGGGACAGCGCATCGCGCGTACGGGAGTGGTGGGACCGTGAGCGTCGCAGCGAACGACAGAGGAAACCTCGGCTTCTCGTACTGTCATCTTCTGAGTCTGCACTGCACTGCTTCTGAGACGACTCAAAACTCGACGATATGCGGCAAATGAAAACGCCGGTCAGCTACAGCGGAGCTTCGTTTGATACAATATGCAGACTAAAAGATAATTACACAGATAAAAGCGGTGGACTTCCATTGTCAGTGGGCGACGGAGCGCGAACTCTAAATTCAACTCTGACAATCACTGCTGACCCACGTTCGACTCAAATATGTGCGAGCTCAAAATCAGTGATCGTAATGGCAGGCAGAACCACCGCCATTTTCTTTAGGTCTCAGAAACAGGACGTTTTAAAACTAGTCACGCCGAGCTTGCTCTCGACTGACACGTGGAACGCGAGCTCGCAATTTGTAGTCGGCATGGTCGACGGAGCCACGAGGCAAATTTAGGAGCCAAAGGGAGATCTTAGGAGCCATAGGGAGATTTTAGGAGCCATAGGGAGATTATAGGATCCACTACGAAAGGTGACTCAAGGGTCACGCCCAACATACACTCGACTCACGCATGGAATGCGGGCTCACTGTGGTTCGCGGACATGGGGGCCGGAGCCATGGCCAATTTTTGAAACGTCTAAAAATGCTCACTTTCTGAGTTTTGAGGCGCCTCAAAACTCACTCTCTGTGTCGTTTCAGAAGCAGTCACGCCCAACCTACACTCGACTCAAGCATGGAATGCGAGCTCACTATCGTTCGAGGACATGGGGACCGGAGCCACGGCGCGCGCTACAGACGCCTCGAGGAGAAAGAACGCAAAAGCGATCACGATCGAGGATGCTGATGACGTGGAGACGCCAGCCATGGCGGATGTTGTTCGTTGTCGCATGTCGAGG